TTATTATACCATTCATTATACACCCATTTTTAACAATGGATGATTTTGTTTGTAATGCAGATGTTAATAGATTTTATAGGTTTCAATCACAATCCATTCAATTTTTATTTATTTTTTAAGTTAAGCAATTTAAATAATTTTTCTCTAGCTTTTAGTAATAAATATTTTTAATTATAACCTAAAGAAATTTCAAAAGGAAAGGGTATCAAAAGTTCTCAATGAATCTCATGATATTAAATGAAAGATCAGAATTTTATCCTGAGGGTGAATACACATATATAGGTTTACAAGGGTGCTCGATGGATGATTGTTATGTTTCTAGAGAGATAATCAATAAAATTATACCATTTACAGTAGATGAGCAAACTTTTTTGGACCATTTACAAATATTAGTGGAATAAATAGTTATAGGTGAATCGAAAACAGAAAATATGCCAATTTTGTCTTAACTTAATTTGGGTATGCATATAGATATAAGGAAAATTAGTCATTTAAGCCCTGTTAAAGAACATCATTGAGAATGAGATCTATATTATAATAAAAAGTGCTTAATTTTACACCGATATAATGAATTTAATTTAAAATGTTAGAGCCATTTTCGATGAAATCATAAAAATGTGTAAAATCGATGATATAAAGCCGCACTTCAAGTAAGCCAATTTTAATGAAAAAATTGCTGTCACATCCCAGGCATATATCTATCTGAAATACGTAATATCAGTTTTGTACGACTTTTTATTTTTGAGCTAGGTTGTTCAAACACACAGACCATTTTGTGGGACTTGTTTATTTGGACTCAGGGGACCTAAAACGAGTATTTCTATTGAAAACTCAAATTCAAAAATTTTCAAAATCGTAATACTTCCCCTTACTATATATTACATACATAGGTAAGTGAGGATAAAATTATTGTAAATAAATGAAATATGGAAAATTTGTTTTCAGACTTGAAAATGGCTTGATGAGCCGAAACCATTCCATCCGAGTCATCATTCCAAAACAGGGATTAGAAATAAAACGTTATTGGTGTACTATTGGCTTAATGAAACATAAACCGAGTTATATCTTTAGGTTTTTATGTGAATATGGGTTTAAAACAGGGTGGATTATTATCTTCATTACTTTTTTCCCTTTTCATAAATGATATAAAGGAATTATTAGATGGAGAAATAATGATCAACGGGGTAAGGGTAAAGCTGTTAGCATACACGGATGATTTGATACTGCTCTCATCATATCCCTTAATACTTCAAATGATGATAAACCAAATAGAGGCATATTTTACAAAATATAATTTCAAAACAAATCTGTCTAACTCAAAAATTATGATATTAAAAAATAGAGGTAAATCATCAGAATTGGAAATTCAGAGGTTGTAGTATTGATGTTCTAAATAATTATAAATTACAAGGTATAACATTAACACTTGGATTTTATATTATATGGAAACTCACTTGCAACAAAAATTACACGCTACAAAGACCGTGACAAATGTAGCTTGGAGAACAATTTTCAATAACAAAACATTTAATTTTCTAATAAGAATCACATTTTTAATACTGTTACACGAAATATATGCTATGGTGCACATTTATGTGTGGTTAAAATTATGATAACATAGAAAAATTTCTGACTCTTTTCTTAAAAAATATATTCAGGTTATCTGTTAACACGCCTAATTATTTATTCTAAATAGAAACTAAAAGTTAAACCATTGCACAATCATGAGTAAAATACCTAAGTTAAAACAGTACAGTCTACAGGAATACATGACTAACATGGACATTTCTCTTTGTCAACATTCTGAAATAAATGAAAAAGGCTCCTGTCCATTATTGAATCTCTGACAATGTAGTATGGGATGCTTTTCTGTTCTAGACACTTTTAAAATAAAAAAGAATTATTAGTTAGAATTAGAAATTTGGAACGCTTTGGTTGCCAAGGGCGTGCCTGGAGATTTGATTGAGGCCGTGAAATCAACCTACCAGGGTGCCACTGACCAATCAGAACCTTTCCCAATTGCGAGAGGAGCCTGACAGGGAGATAGTTTAAGCCCCCTCCTGTTTATAAACTTTATGGACGAGATCCATAAAATCTGCAAGCGTCGGACTGCATGGACTACAATTGGAAACTGGAATATGAGAACTGTCCTCGTACAGAGCTTTTTATATGCGGATGACATTGTGCTCATCGCCGATTCCAAGATGAAACTACAGCAAGCACTGGTATAATGGGAAGAAGAACTGCTGAGGAAAGGTATGCAAATCAATGCCTCCAAAAGTGATGATTATGGCGAGAGAAGAAGAGGAAGACGTCCAATTGGTTTGCAACGGAGAGATTCTTGACGTAGTAAAGGAGTACATATACTTAGGTATATGTTATTATACCTAATTACTAACGCTGGTAAGATAGATGCTGAGATTTCGTATATAATATCTAAGGGGAATCAAGTATATCACCAGATCGCTAGCAGTATCCTCAGCTGCAGTGAAGGGGATAAAAATACCAAGATGCACGTCTATAAGTCTGAATACCTTCCTATTCTCACCTATGGGGGAGAAAGTTGGACTGACTATGTTGGACAAACATTATAGTCGCATAACAGCAGCGGAAATGCGATTCCTGCGTAGATCGGTGGGAAAAAAAAGGAGGGATCGCATTAGAAATGAAACTATCAGAGAACAACTGGAAGTGCCTGAACTCAAAACCACCTTGGAGAACAGGTAATTAGGGTGATTTGGACATGTCTGCCGTATGAACGAGGACATGGACTCTATAAAGATATTAGAGGCTCGACCCACAGGGAAGAGGGCACAAGGACGTCCCAGAGTCTCATATCAGGAGTTCATGGAGAGAATCGGAGGTAGAAAAGGCAAATCCTTCAACCAAATGAAGCGGTTAAGCAGAGACCGAGAAGAGTGGCTGCGCTGGATAGAGGATCCTCGGTGCAAGAAATGGCATTGTGAGGAAGACAAAGAAGAAGGAGAATTATTAGTTACCAATTCTATGGAAAATGAAAAACTCCATTATATTTTTAAGAGACGTTGGTTTTCTTGTTCAGTCAAAAAAATAAATAAATTATATTCATTTTTATTTTTTCCGACATTTCGACTCAAAGTTCAGGCCTTCATTAGGGCTAAGGAAAGAACATATAACAATAGATATGAGAAACTATTACATTAAAAATAAAATAAAAATATGACATGATAATAAAACAGCAACAGAGAGGAACTTATGAAACAAATAATAATGGTAACAAAGTTGGGGACTAATGAAATAATCATAATGAATGAAATAAACATAATGAAATTAGGTAAAAAATTGAATGAAAAAAATTAACAAAGAAATGTAATGGAATATTATGAGATAAAAATGTTATGTGCTCTTTCCTCAGCCCTGAACTTTGGACCGAAATGTCGGCAAAAATAAAAATGAATATTCTTTATTTATTTTTTTACAGAACACCCCAACCAACTTCTCTTCAATTTTCACTACAGCCAACCATATATCCAGTATCATTATATTTTTATTTTTAACGAAAAATACATTGACAATGCTAAACATATAAATATTTGGAAAAGTTCCTAAATTAATTTATGGAATTAAGCGCATTTATTTATTCATTAATTAAATCATCAATGGTTTAGCGTTTCCTTCGGCTTTTGGAGTTGATGGATTTGCTGGATGAAACCTCAGTAGTGTTATATCTCAATTTACTTCATATATTTATATGTTTACTTTCTCTCTATACAGGAAAGTTCCTAAATTCAGCACTGAGCTCATCAATGACATCGAATCAGTCTCTAAACTGGGCAAAGCGATGCAATCATGAGCTCAGTGTTGTTTAGGAATTCACCCTGTTTATATCTGTTTTTAAATTCAACAATCCAGTAGGTAGGTATTTCTTTATATATTTTTTATTATTCATGCGTTTAGTCATCTTTCAGGAATGTTAACCTTCTGATGGAATCTATAATGTCATTTCTAAACTGAGCATAAATTTCTGTCCATTGGTGGTTGATTTAATCTATTAATGGAATTAGTGCTGAATTTAGAAATGTACTCCTTTTATTATTAAGGAAGATTAATACTTAAAATTCTAATTTTTACAAACATTATCATTATGGTTTAATGTTCCCACTCAGTTTTACCATATTCATTCATGTTTTTCATGTTAAGCAATGTTTAAGATCTACAAATACTTTTTTTATACTATATATTATTTTTAATAAATAGTTTAAGATCTTTTTTAGATCTAAAACTTGATTTTTATGACCTTTTTCTTGATAAATTTAGATCTTCAGATTCTTTTATTATTATATTATTTTAATTTTTATTAGATCTTCGGGCCCTATTATTATACATGTTAAATGTTCGAAGTTTTCATGGACCATTTATATTTAGAGTTTGTGAAATATATATATATATATATATATATATATATATATATATATATATATATATATATATATATATATATATTTATAATGCATGTATAATTTGTTATTTTTTCTATGTTAAGCATTGTTAATCTATTGTTGTTAAATATCAATATGTTCTAATTATGTTGTTTGTGATTTTAGTGTTTAATTTGTATTTAATACATTTGTGATCAATGAATAATCAATTGGTGTTTGCTTGAATAATCTTTGGATATTGTCTGCTGTTGGACTTGATGGTATTTTACCAGGAGTATAATGCAAGCAGTGATATACGTAATAAAAAAAACTTTCAATAAATGCATTATTATTATTATTATTATCATTATTTATATAGTTCAATTATCAAAAATCACAGTTTTTAAATATAGAAGATTAAGATGATCATAATAATTAAACACTAATGAAAAGGTGTGAATCTACAATTTTTTTTTTCAGTAAACGAGAGAATTAGCTAGAAAGGCATTAACTAAGTAGGAAGCTAAACATTCAATGGCGCATACATTTATAACACAAACTACTATGCCTCACAAAGCATTTTTGTTTAATATTAACACATACCTGAAAATTTGAACTGGTCAAAACAAATTCATGTTTGAATAAATCACATATATACTGATAATTCTCATAAAGAAGATCTAAAAACATGTTTTACAAACAGTAATAAATTAAATAAAATTAAATTAATACAAATTAATTTTAAAATACAATTTACCAATGGTTACTTCAATTTCTTTACTTAAACATTCAAAAACAGTCAGAATTATAGAAGATCTTATAAACAATGTTAAGGTAGGATTGACATAAATTTGCAGCATGACTATTGGGACACCTTCCTCAATTATTTCATCACTTAAATAACAACCTATAATATACAAAAACAAAGAATATACAGATAGAATCATTTATCTTATTTCAATGATTTATGTATGTTACACCCAACATGTAATTATTTTTTATTTTCTTGTCACCATATCATAATATGGGGGCTAATTTTATTTTGTTTATTATAACATAGATTATTTATTTTAATAAGTTTATTTGTTTCCATACCATTGTATGACAAACCTGTTTATTTATAAGTAATTAAGCATAATTAAATATTTCGTACACTACAAGACGTCCTAGTGACGATGTTTTCAGCCACTTCCAGAGACTCTCTAGCTCTTGTCGTATCACATAATTGCAACGCAAAAGAAAACATTAGTATGGCGCAGGATGCATTGAGTATGAAACTGCCTCCATGAGGTTCTCTCGCCCCATTACCATTCCCCCAGGAAAACTCAAAGTTTCATCTCACCAAGTTGTAACGGCGAATACCCACATCTGGGACACCATTTTCCTCGAAGAGGACATACATCACATACGTCAGGCGACTAAAGACACAAAATATGACTGGCCGGCTGGAGGTGAATGGTTATATTTTAATTATGAACAGTTTAAGGTGAGTGGTGCCCCTTTAAAAACATTAATGACCCCACGGGTCTCAGGTGTTATCATCAAGTGGAATAAAAAACATTATTTTCACAACATTTCTCACTTCTTCTTCGGTGCATACTATTTATTTTCAAGTTTATTTATTACCAGCCAATTTTACATCAACTTTTAAAATTTTTGTCAACTTAATGACATCACATCTAATTACGACGTTTTGGCTCGTTGAGCCATTTTATTTTTGTCATGTCCACCTTATCATGTGTCACCGACATATCATCAGTCTCATTTCTATTCAGTGAAATTTTAAAAATTGGTGTAAATTGGCTGATAATAAATAAACTTGAAAACATTATTTTCATAAATTTACACCTCACAATGAGGAGACAGGTCTTGTAAACTGCTTCATGCAGAGTTTTACAAGTTAACTCGTAGTGTAGAGGCTAGCATCCTAGTCTGTAATAGTGAAAGTTCCCAGCTCAAGATCGGTTCACCCATATCTTTTTTTTCTTATTTTCTTATTATAAATTATAATTTTAAATTTATATACATCTATATAAATTGTCTGTACCATAGTTCAATTAATTTAACATTTAAATTAAATTCATTTATATTATATAACAATTAATTAAATCTCATTCATATAATTTGTAAATTTAATGTTAAGGTTGTTTTCTTTCATATTTAATGTTTAACATAATTTTATTTCTCTCATTATTTAATTATTATAATTTGCAATATAGAATTTTCTGCTATTCGGCATTTTATTTATCCTCAATGGATTTTATTATTTTAAATAAATTAATTAATAAGGCAACAGTGCCTATGGATTGGGTTGTGCAGAATTGGCTGTTCACATTTGAACACCAGCTGTTATAAATAATTTAACAAACTATTTATGGAAACAGAATGATAATTAACAAAGAGATAGAGAAAAATAAGTTTTACCTTCTTGATTTTCAGATTGATTCAGATGCCGTTTGAATTTAGGTTTTTTTAGAATAATCACATTTTCTGATGACAGATAAACAAGTGAACCATGGATAATTATTGATTGTTTAATTGATGTTTCTAGGTCCCCTGTTATAATGAAAAACAATATATATATATATACATATATAAATAGGTAAATAGAAAATAACTTTATTCTGGGACAAAGTCCCTTGAGAATAATAAAATAGAACAAAATTAAAAGATTACATTTGGCCTAAATAAAAACAATAGAAAAAAAAAAAAGAAAAAGTAAATAAAATATTAGGTAAACATACTATAAACAAAACAAATAAAACTATGTACAAAACACTTAAAACTATGACAAGACATTTAAAACTGTGTACAGTGTTAAAACATTATAAATATACACTTTTGAGACAAAAATAAAGAAAAAAGAAAAATACATTAAATTCTTCTTTAAAATAAACTGTGTTTCTGCTGAGAAAAAGCTGAAAGCTGAATCTGACAATATAAAATACCTGAGTACTTAAATGCTGAATAATATATAAATAGATCATGATCATTTGTTAATGTAATGATAGGTAAGAATTTAATTGTGTATAAAAAATAATATATATTATAAACAAACAACAGATGCATTCAGTGGCATCAAGAGTTGGAAAATCTTGTAATATCCCTAAAAAAAGAACAGCATGAACATTTGATAATGAATGACATAAAATAAATGTACGATGAATGGTTAGTAACTGTGTGTTTTCGGGAAAGGTAGGTAGGTGGGAGTTTAAGGCGATAAATTGCAGATGCCCATTTTGTGGGATAGGAATTGGAATAAGAGGGTTTTGAATATGGATATGGAGGGAGAATGCCAAATTTTGATAGGGAGGGAATTCCAGAAATTGACAGAGCGAGCAACAAAGGAGTTTTGGAATGGGGCAGATATGTGAGAAAGGATCCTTCTTTAGAAAAGCATATTATTCTACAGAAATAGGGGTTTCTTTTCTGAATTTCCAAATGCTTCAATGTGGCATCAGAACGTAGCATTCATTACCAAGAGGATATCAATACCAATATAACGTTTTATATATATATATATATATATATATATATATATATATATATATATATATATATATATATATATATATAAAGGAGAGGGATGAATTTAGGGAAAGAGAAGAAGAAAATCTCTTCACTGGCACTTCTCTAACTATTACATAAAAAGAACTGGATGTAGAAATCAAGAAGTTGAAAAATGGGAAAGCTTTTGGTCCAGGAGGTGTGAGTGCTGAACTAATCAAATATAGTGGTAGAGAAGTTGCTAAGCTATTAACAGACCTTATTGTAGGAATTCTAAAGGGAGATCCTATGTCCAAAGAGATGAAGCTAGTCTTTATCACTCCAATATTGAAGAAAGGAGACAGAAAGAAAATGGGTAACTATAGAGGATTATGTATGACAAATTCAATAATGAAGCTTCTTGGTAAAATAATCAAAAACATGCTAGAAAATGATTTTGCTTAGTCCGAAGAACAGTGTGGCTTCACTGTAGGGAGGTCCTGCATTGATCATATATTTACTCTCAGACAGATTTTAGAAAAGCAAGTTAAAAAATCAAAGAGACTAGATATGATCTTTATAAATCTTGAAAAAGCATATGATATTGTCCAACAGAAATTAATTTGGAAACCTCTTGAAAGAGCTGGCATTGGTGCTGATTTAGTGGCAGTGGTAAAGAAAATATATAGAGAGAATGAATACAAAGTAAAAATTGGCCCCTTCATTTCAGGAGAATTTAGAAATAGCAAAGGCATTCTTCAATCAGGGATGCTACATGTCCCCTACCTTATTTAAGATATATATTGATAATTGCTTGAGGAATAGGACAAAAAATGTGGCAAAAAGGGCATTCCAAAGGATGAGTGACAGACATTTATGTCACCTACTATTCGTTGATGACCCAGTGATAATAGCGCGGGATGAGCTTGATATCACGTGCATGTATGAATGGGGCCTGAATATTAACTATTATACTTGTAAAACAAAATAAATGTTGACAGAAAACGATGAGTTAAGTGACCCAGTCTTGACAGGGCTTTGTATGGTAAACCAATTTTGCTACCTTGGGTGAACACTTGAAAGCAATAGAATCAATACACTTGAAAGAGGATAGAAGGAGAGGAAGGCCTCATATCAGGTGGAGAGATGTGGCTGAGAATATGGTGGGTCAAGGGCTGACGGAAGAGTTTGAAGAGCTGAGGGAAATTTCAATTTATGAAGAAAATACCCTTAAATAAAAAAATTAAAATAACAAAGCACAAGTAAACATAATAAATTGTACATAAATATATATGAGTGTGTTCACATAAATTATGGGCTAGTTAAGTATTTTTAAATATTGTGGATGCTGATGTGCAAATTGAAATATATTTCAAGACATTGGAATATATTCCATGAAATAGAGCCAGCCTAGCAAAGAAAAATTGAGACAGAATATAGAATATAGCAGATAAAGTTGGGACAGGGTTTGGGTGACCTGCCCTTATTTGCTGGGGATCGATGCTAAAATATTTCTATAGTTACTACAGATAAACTTAGGCTATTTTGGAGATTAACTTATAAATATCAATCTCTTAATCAGTTCTGCAACTTAAGCTATTTAGGAGATTAACTTATAAATATCAATCTCTTTATAAGTTCTACAACATAAGTGATAGCCCGTTCCCAACTACAAAACTTTGACTAGTAAGAAAGCTTAGAAAAGAAGTAGGGAAAAGATTCAATGAAAATATTTTTGAATGGAAATGAGGTAATCTGAGAGACCCTAGGAGAAACAACCGGTTGAGGAGAATAGCTTGGTGATGTATGAGCAGTGAAGAAGGCAGTTGGAGGTGCTTGGAAGAAATGTCTAGAAAAAAAGAAATGACTGACAGTTAGGAAGATAGAGGAGGCAGTTAAGAAGAGACTTCGAGATGACAGCGGCACCAGGGACCAGAAAGAAGTAGCTGAAGACTATCATATTATCATCATACACATCTATCAGTCTTAGAGTATATATCTAACAGTCAAGAGCTTAACTAGTGCTTCTCGCTATATTATATTATTTAAACAGTCATTTAAAGACTTTTTCCCAATTTTTTTTTCACAATTACTTAGTTTCGTAATATCACATTAATATTACAGTACAATTATTTGTTGTGGTAATAGTAATACAGTGAAAGAAACAAAAAGCAAAGGACGTGATAGAAGCAGTTGAGTTGGAGTAGTGGGGATAGCCAGCAGCAGCCTAATCCTACCAGCCTCCATCCAAACAAAAAGGTGTGCCTTCGTTGTTGTTATTACTTTTGCCTTCTCTCGTCATTTTTTAAAGCAATTGTGACATTTATTTATTTTATTTTTTGTCAAAATGGTTAATTGGAAAACATGTGGGAAAACAGTAAGTCGAGAAGACAAGACTAAATTGGCTTGTGCCACATGCCAAAACATCTTTCATACTAAATGCATGAAAATAGATTTTACAGACTCAGAGGGCCTAAAAGAAACCAGTAAAAACTGGAAATACACTGATTGCGAAACAGGGTCGCGTACATTGCCAGCCTCTAAGCCTAGTACTATGATAGACCTACTGAGGGCACTGGCTGATGAAGTAAAGGAATTGAAGTCCAAACTTCAGGGTTCAGTAGACGAACTAAAGGAGATAAAAGAATCCCTCCAGAAGCAATCAGAACTATCTTTCGAGACTATGGAGTGGTTATTAAAAATTGAAACACTCCTAGAAGAGCAAAAACCCATAATGAAAAATTAACTATGGAAAACAACATGTTAAAAACAAAAATAGTTGAGCTGGAAAGTCGTCTGAATTCCACATAACAGTTTCAACTAAAAAACACAATAGAAATTAGAGGAATTGTGGAGAAGTCGGGTGAAACTGTAACTGGCACCATCCTTAGCATCGGAGCGGGTCTGGGCGTCAAGTTGATTCCCGAGGATCTTGATCACACCGTGAGACTCAAGTCCAAGCAAGAAAGGACCCCAGGCCCAATTATAGTAAGATTCGTCAAACAAGCGGTGAGAGATGAGCTGGTGCGGCACCGAAGAACAATGAAAGATTTCTCTCTAGGCAGGGAAGAGAAAAACTTGCACCGCGTTTATGTGAGTAAAGCCATGACACCCACCAATAAACACCTTTATTGGATAGTCAGGCAGAAGAGGGTGACTGCAAAAATAAAATATGTCTGGTTTAGTGGGGGTAAAATTCACTGCTGACAGTCAGATGTATATCCAGTAGTAACTATAGAAAAACCAAGCGAGCTGGACGTTTTCAGTTGAATGTTGTATATAAGTTACCTTCAGTTTGCAGTTAATTTATTTTTTCTCGCTAGAGTCCCCTACCCATTATTTTTTTCTACGCCACAACAGATCTGATCACACGGGAGGTGGTGTCGGATTGTATGTCCATGACAGTCTTAAGGCCAAAATCCTCCTGCAATCTCCTTCTCATGACCTTCATATGTAATACATGTTCATTGAAATTTACTATATTACCTCTCCTCTGTTATTTGCCGTAGTTTACAACCCTCCTCGTGTTCCATTTGATAACTTCTTTGAATCCTCCCTTGTAAACCTAGTTTCCCATTACAACAATATTATTATCACTGGCAATTTTAACATATATATGCTTTCACGATCTCCTGAAAAATACTTTCTAACTGATCTACTGTTTTCCCTTAATCTGTATCTTGTTCCTTATTCCCCTACCCATCATACGCAATTTTCAGACACCTGGTTAGACCTCTAAATCTCTGACTCTCACATCAAAATCCTCTCCTCTTCTAAACATCCCGTTCCATTTCTTTCATCACACGACCTGATCCAAATTACATATCACCTATCTGTGAAATCCTTTACTCCCAAAATGGTTTCATTCCACAATTTAAACCTTCTCTTCTATGAATCCCTTCAACCTGACCTTGATGCTTTCCAATGGGGCATTATATCTTCCTATAATTCCACTGATCCTATGGTATCTACCCTAACCTCAAACCTACAATCCTTATTAGACACCCATGCTCCTCTAAAAACTAGAACCTTACTTCATCCCATTGCACCTTGGCTGACTCCTGAAATAAACGAAACAATGAAAAGAAGGGATGCAGCAAGTCGCAAATACCGTCGAACCCATTCGCCAGCTGATTATGCTTATTTTAAGGAACTTCGCAATGGAACAAAATCCACAATTGGACTTGCCAAATACACTTACTTTCATAATGCTACTTCCAATACTCCCAATTCCATATGTAAATGGAAACTACTCCGTAACTTATCCATACCCAAATTCAATAAACTCAGTTCCATCCCAGTGACTCCAGATGATCTCAATGACCATTTCTAATGCTTCACTCACAATTCTTCTCCTACTTTTGATATTAAACATCACAATATCAATCCTGAAGACTTATTTTTTTTCCATGTGACCTATGATGAATTACTTTTCACTATCCTAAAATCCCACAGTAATGATGATAGTCCTGATAATATTCCAGTAAAACCAATAAAATCCAGCCTTCCTGTCCTTATTCCTGTTCTTTACCATATATACAACTTTTCATTGCAAAACTCCATATTCCCATCCTCCTGGAAAACTAACCTAGTCCGACTTTTGAATAAAAATCCCAACCCTAACTCACTACATGATTTCTCTCCTATCCAACCTTTCAAAGCCGTTAGAACGCCTTGTCCAAAATCAACTCTCAAACTTCCTAGAGGAACATTCCCTTATCGACCCATTCCAATCTGGCTTTCAAACTGGCTACTCAACGCAATCAGCTCTCCTTAAAATAACCCATGATCTGCAAAACTCTACACCAAAACCTTACCATCCTCATCCTTCCAGATTTTTCCAAAGCGTTTGACACAGTTGACCATAACATCCTCCTTGCAAAATTGCACCAATCTTTCTCTATCACTTTTGTGCCCTGCGTTAGTTCAATTCTTTCCTTTCAAATCGATCCCAGTATGTAGTCATCCCAGGTCAAACTCCATCTAAGACCCTCCCCCTCTCCTGTGGTGTTCCTTAAGATTCCTCTATATCTCTTACTTTGTTCGCTATTTACATTAATGACCTTTCCCTCCTGATCCATCACTCCCAATACCATATTTATGCAGATGATATCTAAATATACCTGTCCTTCCCGGCCTCTGATCTATTATCAGCCACAGAAAAACTTCAAGAAGACTTGGATAAGATTTGTAACTGGGCGAGAGCCAACAAGTTGAAGTTGAACACGGAAAAGAGAAAGGCAATCTTAATTGTCTCTAATCACCTCCTTAAAACTGTTCCTCATATTCCAACTCTATTCCTACATGATAATCCCATCAAATTTTATCCCTCTATCAAAAACCAGAAATAACCTTTGATCAAACGCTTTCCTGGAAAAACAATGTATCCAACCTCTCCCGCCATACCAAGTCCACCTTAAAACGTCTAAACTACTTCTGTCACCTATTTCCCCTTGAAACCCGTAGGCTCCTAGTCACTTCCTTAATTTTTCCCCACTTCAACTATTGCTGTACGGTATATGGAGGTGTCTCTGGGGATCTTGAGGCGAAACTAAAACATTTGATAAATTGCTTTGTACGACTCATCTTCGGGATCCCAAGGAACGCCTCTGTTTCCCATTTTTATGTAGAGTTGAAGTGGTTTTATCCTTCCTACCATCATAAGTGTTTCCTGGCATCATTTCTCTTTTAAGTCATCCAATTCCACCGACCTTCATACATGTCCGAGCTCCTCCAATTCAAATCCTCTGTTCGTTCCCGCACTACTCATTTCAGGTCTTCTGATTTATACTTAAGGGTCCACCAAACCGCTGCTTCCGACAGATAGTTCATTATCCGATCCTTATCCCTATGGAACTCCATCCATTCCAACAACCGTCAATCCAATACCCTTCCTACCATCAAATTCCGCCTGTTCATCAATCATTTCTTATCCAACCACTCCCCATAAAATTGTAAATAGATACCACTGTAAATATGTATATCAATTATTAGATCGTCCTTCATTATTTGTAGATTATTTTCAATTTTTTATTATTAACAGATTTAAGTTAGAAAGTACTTATAATTTTTTTATTATGACTATTTAATTACACTGTATTTTTGTTCATGTATCTCTGAGACTCCTTAGCCCAAATTTCTGTCCTTCTGTATTATTCTAAAGGGAATCGTCCCAGAATAAATAAAGTATTATTATTATTATTATCCCCTATTACAGCTAAGTCATAATATTCATTGAGAAATTACCTTTGTAACTATAAGTTAGTAATCTATAAAATAACAGAGCAATTAGTCTTGTTCACATTGGTAACCTCTACACAAAATATTAACAATGTATTTATGATGCTTAAAATTGCAAATAGATCCTATTAGATTAGAATGGGATTTCTAGCTCTTTTTTGCTCCATGCCACCATTTAGATATATATGTATACACACTCTCACATACACACACACATATATATATATATATATATATATATATATATATATATATATATATATATATATATATATAGTAAATTGGTAATATGACACCCTTAGAAAGGATATCTCAAATGAACTATAAATCAATTTAATATATTACAGCAGAGGAGTGGGGGTCTGTGGTATCTATTCTTTCTTTCATATTCCCTTCTAGAACCAATAGAAATAGAAATACATTAAATATCATAAATGCTGTTTTTGGTATTGCCACTCACCTTAGAAAAGCAGGTAGCCAGAAACGTAGCAGTATTAAACTCTATGTTAGGAGTCTACACTAAATTTATTTTAGTTAAATACATTTTTAAATTTAATTAACTCAAAATATATTGTTTAATTTACCCAAACAAACATCAATATACATTAATAAACAAAGTGAACAAAATTATTGTTATAATAGAATTTACAAACTAAAATATAAACATCTTACCTTCAACAAAGACAGTGCCGCAGAACAGATCAAATAAAAACAAAAGTTCATTTACACTTCTAACAGCTTCGTGTAGAGCTAATGCATGTGAATGGGTTCTAATTATATGATCATATAATACCAAAGCCAATACATTGAAACAACTATATATCTGCAGAGATTGCTGCCTGAATAAATAAATAAATATATATATATATATATATTATATATATATATATATATATATATATATATATATATATATATATATATATATATATATCAAATTAAGAAAAAGTAAATAAATAAAAACAAGAACACATAGTAACTAAAGTAATAATTGGAGAGATTAGGGAAGGAACTTAACTCGATGGTAGTGGGAGACTTGTAATGCCAAAGCTATAAACCAACCATTCCTCTCATCCTGGTTAACACTTGTGTTATCTGTCACATCTACCTACTCTACTAGAAATTAAACTAATTTCATGAATACCATCTATTGACATATGTTTTGGATATAATTATAGTATATAATTTGTCTCATTGGAATGAATCTTAACAATATTGGTTACTTATGAGTTAATCTCCCTGTTGAATTTTCTCTTTGATGACCCTAATAATAGTTCTTTTTAGAAAATTAGTGCCTAATGCAGTTCTTTCAACCATTTTTGCCATAAGAATAAAAGGGCTACTTATGATTTCTCTTCCTCAAAATAATTTTTAATACTTAGAATCACATCACGTGATTGTGACTTGGGATTACTGAACTTTATACTCATTGAGGGGTGCCCAAAAGGGGGTTAATATTACATGTATGAAATTGAAAATTAAGCATTAACACTAGTGAATGCCATGGACCCTATGCGATTGAGAGTTTACTCTGAAAACATGATAAAAAAAAAAGAAGAGAAAATTTGACAAACAGAGATGAAATTTTTTTTTTTTTAATCAAAGAAACAATTTTATGCGTGAAAGTTACTGAATAAATAATAGTTTAATTGAGCCTAACTTCACAAACCTTAGCTATGTTGAAGAGACTAAGGTAATACAGTATTATCAGTCAAAGTTACGGTAGCACCACACTTAGCTGCAAGTATACCATTAACAGCAGTTCCAGCATGTTTTTCTTGTATGCCAAGCATCCAAACGCTAATGCAAAGAGCCCACATGTCTACAATGTGCTGCAGCAGATGAAGTGAAAGCTTAGATAAGCAGAGGGACTCCATATGTCTCACTTAGCTGGCGCCTTTATTGTTTTGAGCATCGGGACCAATGTGTCTATACATGTCTTCCTCTTCACAATAGCATTCATATGTTGTAGGATTGAGCAACATAGCAGTATTAGACAAAGTTTAGTCCTGTAGTCTCTTGAATTTCTCTTGGTGTAACTCAAAGAAACTTTATTTGATTCTTTGGTATCTGATGCAGCTGGGTGATCAGATCATTCAGAGCATGGTGTTCATGAAGATCAACGATCTTATAGAGGCAATCCGTGGTTAGAAGTTATTTAGTGAGATAATTTTCAATAAAATGTAGTAGGAACTTTCAGGGTCTGAAGCATGCAGCTGATCAGTTCTTCCAAGTAATATATTCTTCCATCTTGGCAGCTGAAGGGGGATGTGTGTTGCTCTTTTGCTCCAAATGAGGGAGACATATAAGTCCAGCATCAAAAGAATTGATAGAATTTGCTTAGCCCAGATAACATCCAACCAAACAAAATATTTTTAGATTGCAGAGGTAGAGAGAGAGGTTACAAATTTAATTTTATAATTAAATTTATACTGACACAGATTAGGTATAACACCAACTTTACTATACCACTTAATAATTACATATAGGGCACAACAAAACTAGTAATAATAACTAGGGTTCGGATTTGAAGAATTTATCTTTTTTTTTGTATGTTTAAAAGAAAAAAGAGTTATCAACAAATCTTGGATTTTAGATTTAAAATATAATGCGATATTTTTTTATAACCTTTGAAATAGAACTTTTTTGTTATTTTCTGAAAAGATCTTTTTTTGTAATTTCACACTAAAAAAAAAATCTCTTTTTGCAGTTCCACACACAAACAGATCAATTTGGTCATTATTCGGAATTTAATAAAAATTATTATATTCATGAATTCTTGTATATGATTTTAGGCTAAATCGAATATTTAATTAAACCTATTTAATTCAAACTTTAAAAGAAAATAGAAAAACTCTTGTAATGTCAGGATATTTAGTTAGAAAACATTTATTAGTAATATAAAACAAAATAAACACCTGCGTTTTGAGTGAGGAAGTTAAAAATTCCTGCTTTGATTCAGTGAAAGAAAGATACAACAAAGAAACCTAGACAAGATTACATTCCGATTTCATAAAACATTTTATTTTATTCTATTTTTATTTTCAGAAAGACTGGAGATGCCTAAAATGCTGGATTTGCTCCCTCTGTCATTTTTTGCCTTAAGTGAAAGAGAGATTAATACTTTTTTGTATTTTTCAGTTTTAGTTGCTGATTCTCAATGAATAAACTGTTGAGAGTGAATTATTCATAAAAATATTTTCAAAAGATGTGGATTGTTGACGAAAAGTCATGGTACTACTCTACAAATTAGAGATAGACAGTGAACACCTTATACTTGTGGCCGATACAAAGATAATTATGGATAACAAAAGAAAAGCAAAGGTATTTAAGACCCTGAATATTAGGGCCTTGGATGATCCAGAAAAGAGGTTCCTCTACACGGAGAATTTAGAAGATAAGTTGAGAGCAATAACTTTCCACATAGACATAGAAAATATCTGGAACACATTAAAGTCATGTATTCTGATGGTTGTAAATGCAGTATATGGGAAGAGGAAGGTATTTGGTAAGGGGAAGCGGACTGACTGGTGGACCAAAGACCTTCAACGAATATTTGCTCGGAAAAAGCTTGCCTGGAAAGTATACCTTCAAGATAGAAACGAGGAAAAGCTACAAAGCTACCGAACAGCCAGGAATAAATGCAAGGTAGCTAAGAAACGCTCATGGGAGGATTTCGGTAAAAAACTGAGTGAGGACCATCGTGAATCCATAAGAACTTTTTGGCGAAAAATTAAATTTTAAAAGGAAAGAAAAACAACACTGCCAGAAATGTAAAAGATAGCGATGGATCCCTGCTTACCAACAAGGAAAAGATTCTGAAAAGATGGAAACAACATTTTCAGGAACAACTCTCAGAAAATCCAGAATACGTCAGTGCCAAGAACGAGAGCCCTCTACTCTAGAAAGTGTAGAGGTAATAGAAGAAGAAGAGATAGAAGATGCAATCCAGAATCTAAAATCAGGAAAGGCACTGGGAAGGGATGGTATCGCCCCTGAATGTCTGAAATATGGCAGACTCAGGACCAGATATTTGTTCTTAGAACCATCGCTGAAAAGGCCTGAGACAGAAACAAAAATCTGTATTTGGCATTTCTTGATCTAAGGGCAGCGTTTGACTCAGTTCCAAGGAAAGAAATTTGGAACGCTTTGGTTTCCAAGGGTGTGCCTGCAGATTTGATTGAGGCCGTGAAATCAACTTACCAAGGAGCCACTGGATTAATAAGGATAAATGACATTTTATGACATCACATATGACATCGTATACAATTACACTTGCTGGGGTCTGTTCCATGTTTTCTCCTTTAGTCAGAAAATTCTTAACTCTGTCAAAATTTGCTCCCCTCAAAAATTTAAAAACCTGTCAAAATATGGCCTCCTCAAAAATTTTGATGGGTGCAACTTGCGCCATGAAACCCTCTTTTGGGCACTCCTGCATTTGCTTATGAAGTGGATCATTCAAAATAAGATTTTAAAAAACAGTTTATTCTTATTTAATGATTTTAATAATTAAAAGGTAATTTATTTTTACATGTTTAGAAGTAACAAATAAAAAAAATTCTAAAAGAAAACTCATTACATTGTTTTTTGGGGATTTTAGAAATTAAAAGGTAAGTATACTAAAAATGTTGAAAAACTTGATTAACTTTTTGTTTTAGTACGTTGTTGGTCCACCTCAAGCATTAATTACTGCCTGAGGATGAGGCATTATCAGCATTTTGATGATATCTTGAGGGATCGTCTATCATTCCTCTAAGAGTGCTGTGTGCAGTTCATCTTAGAGTTCGTGGAAGAGGATTCAGTCCTGAAAACCATCTTTGATGTTGATCCCATAAAATTTCAATGGGATTTAGGTCTGGATATTAAGCAGGCCCATCCAGGTGGTGAATTACTTGATTTTAAAAGAATAAATTTATGAATCTAGCTTTTTTTTTTGTTTTATTATTTATTATTTTTTTTAGGTTCTCCCCTTCCTCGCTTTTAAGGCTATATGGAGTTTTCTCAGGCTAGAGGATGTGGGCGGGGATTTAAAAGACTCCCCTGGGACGCAAACTCATGACTATTTTTTATTGTTTGTCTCACATATCAGATTGCCGGACAAAGGTGGTGCACAGGCAGACGCGTTAGCCCGTTTGGCGACTCCGCTCACACTATGAGTCTAACTCTATGAATCCAGCATTATTATCCACAAAATAAATTTTGGACCAATTTCTTCTGCCACAGGTTGCACTAACGCTGCTTATACTTGATTCTGTCCAAGTAACACTGAGCAGTCATAGTCTCATTTTGTAATACCACAAGCTCTGTTGGAAGGCCCATGGATATATCACCACTCCGTACTATATTGGTAAACAGGCAAGACCAGGGAAGGATTGTATCGCTCTCCAAATGTTTTGGTAAGTCTTGCTTGGTTTGAATCATGGTGCAGTACAAATTTAGAATCATCTGTGAAAAGGCAATTATCCCAGATATGATCAGTCTATGATATGTGAGTCCGAGTGAAATGAAGTCTTGGAACTTTATGTTGTGAGTTGAGTCCTGGAAAGTGCAGAGGTCTTAAACAGGTGTCAAAATGGAAAAATACTGATTCCTCACAATTTTATAACCAGGTAATGCAATGATCCACTTCAATTGCAAATGAATACATATATATTATTATTCTTTTTCCCCAACCTCCAACAAATAGGATATAGCTCATAAGAGCAAAAAATATCTGGGCACAGCAAATACTTGGACATTTTCAGAATTCCATTTATAGTGTGTAACATCATGAGATCTTGGCCCACCCATTAAAGAGGAATAACACTTGTAAAGTAGTATCAAAGATACTTCCAATACACCCAGATAAGAAAATTTATTCTTAAGTTGGTTAAAAAATGATATTTTTTTTATTTATTTAATTTGACCTTATTCTCTCTTCTCACAGCCCTCTAAATTGAAATGCATAAGGCATAAATTTCAGCCATAAGGAGTTTTACTATCCTACTTACTTAATGTAATTATAGCCTCAAGAATACACAACATGGACAATTTTCTTTATTTACATTTTAAAATAAAATTAAAACGGCTCCTCGCTATTACTGAACCTCCAACCGCAAGATTTTATGTCCTATTATGATTATAAAAAAGTAAATTTTTTTTAATAAAGCTATTTGACAATGAAAACATTCATCATATTTATTTTTTTTACAAAAGATATATAAACAATTTTCAATATAATTTGTATTAAATATATTTCAGCTGAATTCTGAGATAATGTTTTCAATAAATCTAGCAAATATTGTCCCACAACACATATATAAATATTCTTGTTATTAAGTAATTTAAATTTTTAAATTCTAATTTTTGTAAACATTGAGATTTATTATTCTTACTCAGTTTTACCATGTTTATTTATGTTTATCATGTAAAACAATGTTTATTATCCACATTTTTACAATCCATTCCTAGAAAAATTAAGATCTTCAAATCTGGGCCATAATGATAATTATTATATTACCAAATTGCATCGAATTTAAGACACTTTTTAATATAGAAATTGAATTTTTAAAACAGTGTGTCTTAAATTTGAAGCCTAAAATTTGATTCATACAATTTATCTAAAATGCGTGTTAAAATAATACTAGGTGAATTTTCATGATAAAATTTATATCTAAACATTCATCAAATCAAAATAAGTTATAAAAAAAAATTATATAAATGTATACTTATGTTCCCAAATTTCTTTCTATATTTCGTAATTATTTGATTAAACAAATTCCCTTCTATACAAGAAAAAAAAAAAAAGAAAAAAAAGAAAATAGGTACGTCTTAAATTTGAAGTAATATAGTAATAAAATTATTAAACATTAAAAACATAATAATAAACTATTTGAAAGAAATAATAACAGAACACTAAGATCACAGAAAACTATTGTGTTGCAAAGCCTGGACTCAAATGAGCAATACCCTTTCCTATCCCTCTCTGGACCAGATCACTTCCTTTCCTAATCTCTCTTGCTAAATCATATATATATATACATAATATATTTTTTTCTAAACTTACATTTCGGTTATTTTGAAAGCAATCTGTTTAATTTTATTAGTTTCATTTTCTTGATTTCTATATCTGAAGTTAATTTGATTGTCAAGAAAAGAACGTATGGAAAATGCATCACCAAAGTTAATAAGAATATTGCCATAGTTTTCATCTAAAACCTTCAGAGCTTTGAAAAACCCCTAAAATAAAATAAAACAAAATAAAAGTTTGACTTTTTTTTGGATTTCAATTTCCATTTTACAATCAAAAGACTATTGTATATTATGGATTATTTTTCCTTTAGTTGCCTTCTGGCAAGTACCATTTGAACATTAAAGCTTTGTTGTTTACTTATATACATCCTTATATCAAATTTCTTAGTAAAAAAAAAAATTGCAATGCACAGCTCACTATGAATAAATAAAACTTAAATATTATATCACTATAATTAATATTAACATGCATTCCTTTTTCTGTTAGTCCTTTCTAAGTAAAATGAACCTTGTCAACCATTAAAAAACTATTAATTAAAAATAACTGCTAATTTCAAAAGTATTAGGTGTCAGTAGAGAATAGAAACAAGGGGTTACATTGAAAAAAATGTGATAGAAATTTTTATTATTTTTTTCTTTTAACTTGAACATATGGGTGCCAACATGTAAGAAACAAAGACGATTATATAAGTCATTATGAGATAGCTTTTGGAAGCCAAACAACTTTGAAATTTTAAGATTTTTTAGTCTTTTCGCTTGTAATTCTTGAAGAGGGTATTCTAGCAAGAATGTTAAACCACATAAATGAGCAAAGATGTTTCATATAACACAAACACACACACACACAACTATATAGAAGAAAGTGATGTCGTAACAAACACATGAACGAATTTCATTTATTAAAACAAACTTTAAAATAGATTAATAAGAAAAATATTAATATGAAAAGTTCGTAGGCCTGACTCCCTTGAAATGAAAGTGGATGAAAGTAGGATTCTTTATTATGCAATCATTAGTGCAATTCCGCAATATAAAATCAATTTTTTTTGGGGGGGGAGGGAGTATCAAGGGGTCTATGGTTAACAGTGAAACTAGGTAATTCTGATTGTGCTATCAACCTAATAACTCTGAGAGTAGTTGGTTTACAATTGCAGCTAATTGTAAATTTCATAAGTGAATGTTTTTTAGTCCTTCCCCCTCACTTGGCTGAAGTGATGAGAGATCTGGTCTTATATTGGCTATAGATTTTAAGAATGAAAGTTAAAAGTGGGTGTTGAGGGAACTTTCATTATCCAAAACACTGTACGATCTTACAATATATAAATTTCTGTATTTCTCAGGATGGGTGTATGAGGAGGAGAGATAGAGAAACACTTTGGCTGCTTTTTGTATGTTCGTTATATTTTGTTAATTTTTTTTTTTTTTTGTGCAGTTTGACAAAACCAAGTTTACATTTCCAAAATACTGAACTTGTTTGACCAGAGCCAGTAAAAACATGCATGAACAAAATGATCCCTTCCCCACCTCTACTGTGGATACTAAAGACTATAATTTGGATGGAGATGAGATAAATTATATATTTCATGGTAATAATTTGTTCATATAGTAAAATGAAATGAAAGATATCTTTATTTTTCTTGGACGAACTACCTTTAGAACAAAATTAAAGGAGCAATATAAAGTGGCCAAAACAGTGTAGCTGTACTGTTTTATACCAAATATAAATATATGTTCATTAATAGAAGTGAAATTAAGTAACAATATACCATAGATGAAAAGAACTTTAACAGTGAGGAGTCAGAACCAGGACAGAGGGCGCACCTCTGTACCAGGTGCTTCCCCCTGCTAGCTGTAAAAATGGGAGCTTATTTAAAGAATATTAGACCAGTATTTTGATGAATGAAACAGGAAATTCATTACAAAAAATGTGGGAAACCTTTTTATTTTTATAACTTGTATATATGAAATGAAATGAAAAAAAAAAACTTGATTATTCTGGGACTAGTGTCTCTGTAGAACAAATTAAATTAAATATTTACAAAAAGATTGGTAATATAAAATTAAAATACAGGTAATAGAAATAAATAAAAAAATATATACATAAATATAAAATAAACAGAGAAAGATAAAATGAAATAAATAAACAAAATAGTATCTGGAGGTACTTGGAGAGTCTTATGACATACTCTTACATGCATTTACATGCATTTATGATCAGTTGGATTAGGAATGGAATAGGTGCTTAAATAGGAGAGATTTGATATTGAGGTTTATATGAACTTTTTTATAGGTCTTTATGTCTACTATCAACCTTTTAAATATTTTCCTCTACTTACGGGATAACTTGTATAATAAAAACATCGAGTCATAACAATAAAGTACAGCTAAATGCACGGGTGCCCATCCCCCCCAAGGTCGATGGTACGAGAATCTACCCCCCTCCCCCTCCTCTCACTTCCAAAATATTTTATTGCACATATTTTCTTAAAAACAGAGCAAGCTAAGGTAGAATTAGACTAATTGTAGATCATACAAAATTACACTTGCAGCGGTAAGTTCCATGTTTTGTTACTGTACCTTAGAATGAAACTTTTCATTCCGAAAATTCATAATCCTGTCAAAATGAGGTTCCCTCAAAAATTTAAAAACCTGTCAAAATATGTTCCTCTCAAAAATTCTGATCACGCAACGTGCGACATGAAACCCCCTTCTGGGCACTCCTGGATAAATGGTTATGAAATGAAACTGAAAATAGAAATAAATTAAGGGAAATAAAAAAAATGTTATAAACTGCATTGCAAAATAGATTACCAAACATTTTTGAAATTATTAAATCCATTTGAGTTCAAAAATAGTTAAAATGGTATAATTAAAAATAATGCGGTATTTGTAACCATTCTCAGGATATGTTATATTGGCAGACATTGTTTTCTATGACCTCCAGTCAAACTAGTTTTGATAAGTATAAATGAAAATCTGCTAAATATGGACCAAAATTTCACCCACTCTCCTCAAAAGTGTGTTTTTCAGCCGCGTCTGCTAGGCCTAATCGTCCACATTGGATTGACAGATGATATTTTCTGTGGTCTCCAGTCAACCTAGTTTGGATAGGTATAAACGTAAATCAGCTTAAAATTGCCTAAAATTTGTCTTTGTACTTCCAAAATTGTGTCTTTGAGTCGCGTCTGCTCAGCGTGATCGTCCACATTGGATTGGATTTTAGAATTATGTAGTTTGGAGACTCTTACTTTAATGGGTGAGATTTCCAACCTCAAAAAGAAAACTTTGATTCAAGACATAAAAATTACTGCACTAGAAAGTGAAACAAGGTCATTAAAAAGAGAAAAGAAAAGGAATTATTTTTTAATGTTTAACCTACTCGATTCAGAAAATGAGAATGTTTCTTCAAAAGTTAAAAATGTATGTTAGTAATTTGATGTTAACTTTCCAAACTGTTTCATACATAATTGCTTTATAATTAAGAACCAATACTAATTTTGCTATCTTTGAATAATAATATTATTTAACAGGCGGTAATGAAAAAGAAATGCGCCTTTACGAATTTTTATTTTATTTTTTATTTTTATTTGTTTTATTTATTTATTTTATTTCATTTTATTATATTAATATTTGTATAATAGAATTAATCACAAAAAAATTGCAATAAGATAGGGAGAAAAGCAACATTCATGACAAAATTAAAAGTTATAGATAAAAATGAACACTATAGAAGAGGCTTTTTTAAAGTAAAGAAGACAAGACAGCCTTTACTGTATTGATGAAATAGAAAATATTCTCAATACTTCACTATTGAATTTTATTGAAGAAGATGAAAATCTTGCTAGTTTTAGAAGAAGAGGAAAATAGAAGAAAAACTATAGAGTTTGTGTTTCTTCCAAAACACAGCTCCCCTGTGTGGTCTATCTGACCTCAGAACTTTCATTTAATATTTAATAATATTAAAAGTTATTTAAATCTATCGAATGTGAGTGAGCTCCTGTAATTATACTAATAAATTAGCAATATGTATTGTAGAAACTTGGCTAATGAACAATAATTTTATCACACCCTCATGATTAACAAACTTCATCCTATTAACAAGCAACGCCTTCAAAATCAAACAACGAGGTAAAGCAAGTGGAGATTTTATTACATTCATAAATAAATAATAGAGAAAATGTTATGGTACTGGAGTCTAACCAATATAAATCTTATAATCTCACTTAATATCAATAATAATATAAAAGTATCAGGAAATGTTTACTTATCTAAAAAATGCAATTTCAAAGGGTACTTGGAGAAGATTGGTAATGTGATATTGATTATCACATCTGACCACTAAATAATCTTGTGTGGTGATTTTATCAAGCATATAAGTTAATTAAATAATTTAGATACAGGCATGTTTCAAAATACTAACTTATATGAAAATAAAATATTGTCATGTAAAGATAAAAGGGAAGGGTAGATTGTTAGTTGAGACCATGGAATTGTTAATACTTTTAGTATGCAACAGAAAAGGCATCAGATAAGGCAGGTAAATAAACATATATTTCAAAATAAGGTAACTGCACTATTAATCTCATTTGGATTAATGAAAACAGTCTACGACTAGTTGACAACATGAAAGTTTCTATCTTTTCAGATTGTTCAGTTCACCTAACTTTATATACTAAAATATAAAAATTAATATGCCACTTAAATATAAAAGATAAAACTCAGTTAGGGCTAAGACTTCCAAACCTGCCTCCTCAAAGCAAGTGGTGTATATTTTCACTTCGAAAATCGTTATGAATTATAATACTATTTCATCATGCCTATGTACGATTCTTCAACTAAGTATGGGTTAATAGTCCATAAAAACATGTATTCTCAAAATAGTTTTTACAGTGTGAATGTGATCTCTGAACACTATCAAAAATGTCCTTAGAGACAGATTGTAATATTTTACAATTAAAAAAATAAAAAATAAAATGATATGCTTTGAATGTCTGTAACTAAAAAGAGTTCAACAAAAGAAATATAGAATAATGTTGAGAAATAATTACTCACAAAGTTTACTAGAAGACTATCTTATAGCTAAATATAGTTATAAAAAAAGTATAAGAATCATTTATTAGAGCATATAATGACAACTAGTCCTATTAATTTGATTTTTACAGATATGATTCTAGAATTTATAAAATCACATGTTAAGATTTTATTTTTAAGCTTTTTATGTAGTAACACCAATACCCCACTTTTGTCTGGTTCAATTTGGCAACTTTGTTCTAGAAATGAAGATAATACCCAAAAATTTCTTCTCTGTTTCAACTTTAGCTTCTAGGCCAGATGCATATGCAGATGCTATAATATTTACAAGTTTACAATTACCATGCACACTACTAACCATCTGACCTTAAATATCTGTATTTCATAAATATTTCCACAGAAGACCAACTCTCCGCTATCTTTAAGACCAGAACGAATGAATATGGTTCAGATCAAATTCCAGAAAAGTTAATTAGACTATTCCTTCCTGTCCTTTTGTGAATTTATATTTTTTCCTTTAAATTCCATTTTCTGAACAGCTTGAAAATTCAGAATCCGTATACAATAAAAAATCTTAGTTTCTTACTTCAAATGATCTTCATTCTCTCCATTCTATCAAAACCACTTGAAAGACTCATTAACTCACAACTTAATACCTTTCAAGGGCAAAAAACTCTCCTTAATCTTCCCCAGTCTGGTTTCCGATCCCAATATTCCACATGATCAGATTTGTTAAAATTATGTAAGACATACAATTTTCCAAAGACAAACAGAAAATTAATATTCTTATTCTCTTCTATTTTTTAAATTCTTTCAACTTGAGTAATCACAATATCCTTCATTCAAAACTATAAAAATTTCCTGTATCAAATAGTGTATTAAAATGATTCCTATCCTTCTTTGTAAACAATTATTATTCCCAATAAACCTTTTTCCTCGTTCCCATCTTCTAACTAGCCGAATTCCTTAGGGATTTTCGCTATCACCAGCCCTCTTGTCTATGAATATTAATGATCTTACTGATTCCATTCCTCAATCAAAATACCACGAATATACTGACGACTTCCGAATTTACTAACCCTTTTATCCTACCGAGATGCTTGAGGCAACCCAAAAGCTTAAAGAAAATATGAATAGTATCAATGTCTGGCAATAAATAGTTTGATGTGAAACACTGATAAGTTCTAATTCAAAGACAAAATAAATTAAGTCAATGATGTAAAAGTTATGTTCATTAATTTTTATATATAAAGGATTTTACCTAGAATTAAAGAAATTCATATAAATCAAATTTTAAAAAAAAATACCTTTGTTGACTCCTTTGGTTTTGGAATTCCAAGCAATTCGTAAGCAAATAATTGTTCTTCCAATATTCGATCATAACTTATATTTATAGGAACAATTGTCAAGTCTGGAATATCACCAGTAAGATAAGCTTCAACCACCATTGATAGAAATCCTACAACAAATATAACCAAAGAACAAAAATTTAAGAAATTGAATGAGAGATTTTCTAAACAGTTTTTATAAAGAAAAAGTAAACCAAATTTAATTAGTACTATGGTTTTATTCGGTTGGTACTAAAGTATTTCATTGTATATAGAACCAGTTTTATAAGACTTTTAAAGCAAAATATATAAAGAGTGCCCCATCAAACTTAAATCATGCCCCTTATTCAAGAAAGCTTCTGAGAATTTCATAATGATACATTTCATAGTCTCAGTCATAAGACTAATTAATTAATAAGGTAAAGGTGTCCAAAGTGTCCCAACATACTTTCCAGAGTTTTGAATATTTCAGAATAAAACCATTTGAAAAATTTCATATTCTCATTTTCAATGGAAATAAAGAGTTCTGCTATTTGTTCACAAACATTAACCTAAATCAAAAAAAGAGCAAAGAACGAAATTATTTTAAATTTCCTGCAAGACTCCATCATTGTTTTGAGTACTCCATTTCAGCTTATTACACAAAAAGACACTGGTTGTTGTTTTAAACCTAAATATCTCAATTAATAATTTATCGAGCTCTGAGTCTGGTCATTTATTGAAAGTAATTGAATAAGCTACAATAGTTAAAATGCTTTATTCTGAATATTTACCTACTAAAGTGCGTTTTTTCTTTTGCAGTTTTGTGTATTTTGAGAGGTGGGAAAAAAACCTAAATTAATCATATAACTTAATGCTCTACCAGAATCCTGTCATGAAAATCCTTCACAAGTCTCCCACTCCCAACACTCCTCATTTAGAATATTTATTAGTAGAAATTTTCTCAAATTCATCTTCTCCTCTTTATGTCATTACACCCTCCTCAAGGCCAATTTGATCCTGCTTTAGAGTCTTCTCTATTTAACTATGTTCCTTTCTACAATAATGTAATAATAGCCAACAACTTTAATACCAATTTATCCTCCGAAAAATCTAGCCTTGTAGATCTAATCCAATCCCTTGACCTTTATATCATTCTCTTTCAATCCACTCACCATATCCAGTTCCAAAGTATATGGTTTGACCTTTTTACAATAGATTCCCCTCAAAATTTATCATCCTCCTCTTAGAATTCTGTATCCTTACTTTTCTATCATGATCTCGTCAATATTTCCTATAATGCCCGGAATCCTAAACAAATTTCATTTCTGAACCTCGACTTATTGATCTATAAAAACTAAATCCTTTCCTTGAATCACTAGCCCAACCCTTAGAACCTATCTATTCCTATTCCTCCACTGATGAAATGCTGGAATGTCTTTCCTCCAATCTTCTTCTATTTCTGAATCAACAAGCACCTCTAAAGACCTGCTATACCCTGGATCAATCCCAAAATCAGAGAGTTGATGAAGAGAAGAGACAATGCTAGGAGGCATTTCAGATGTATGTGAAACCCGATTGATTACATCTCTTTTAAAACCCTCCGAAACTTTACCTAACCCTCCTTGTGCCGTGCTAAGGAAAAATTCTTCCATACTTCCTTAACACAAGCCATATCCTAAGACCAGAACAAAAATCCTTAAAATCTGTCCGTTGTTAAGTAAAAAATCTATACGTCTTATGATGTTTCTCTCGATTAACTGAATTCCTACTTTGGCAATCTTATCCCAATATAGTTCTCCTACTCATACTGCATTCCAAAAATTTCTTTTTACTCTAAAAATTTCTTTTTTACAAATATTTCACCAGCAATCCTTTCCTTGGTCCTCAAATCTAGTATAAGTGACTATGGATCTACTTTTAGTGGTTAATAAAGCTATGGCTTCCTGTCATATTTCCTGTCCTTTTCCATATTTATAATTTTTCCCTAAAAAATTCCAGTTTCCAATCAGCTTAGAAAAAAATCATAGTTTTTCCACTGAGCAAAGTCCTGGTTTCCTCCAAAGTTTCCAATTTCAGCCTATCTTCATTCCCTCCAACCTTTCAAACCTCTGGAAATACTAGTCCATTCACAGTTTAATACCTTTCTTGAGCAAAAGACTCTCCTACATTTCCTCCAGTCTGGTTTCTTATTCCAGTATTCCACACTATAAACTGCATTGTTGAAAATTACCCAAGATCTTCAATTCTCCATAGACAAACATAAAATCTCTTCCCTGGTTCTCTTATATTTTCTAAAGCCTTCAATTCAGTTAATCACACAATCTTCCTTTCGAAATTCCAAAACCTTTCCATACCAAAAATGGTTCCACTCCTTCTTGTATCACAGATCCCAGTCATCATTCCCAATTAAACCTTCCTCCCCCCTTCTCACTAACTCATGGTATTCTTCAGAGATCTTCACTATCTCCAAGTCTTTTCTCCATCTATATTAATAGTTTTCAAGATTCCACCCATCATTCACACACAATACCACTAATATGCTGAAGATCTCCAAATCTACCTTTCCTTCCATCATACCAAAATACTTGAAGTGATCTGAAGACTAAAAGAAGATATAGACATAAAGCATTCATGCATAGGCAGCAAGCAATGGTTTGAGGTTGAAGTATGTGAAGATTAATGAAACAGATTAGGAGTGCATATTAGTTTGAGTGGCCAGGACGAAAGCCAAATTGGGGAGGGTTGATTAGGGAATGTTCTAGGAAGTTGGAAAGTTGATTTTGGAGGAAGGGTTCCAGCAGTTTTGAAAGGTTGGAAAGGAGAGAAATAGGACGGAAGTTGTGAAGTGAGGAAGGGTTTGAAGTTTTATTTAATGTATTCGCTAAATATCTTGTGCATGTATTTGGGGCATACACAATATAGGACAATTCTCTCACTAACACAATAGAAGATGAATTGACAACACCACTACCCTTATAACTACCCCCCCTCCCCCCCGGCATTTCATCCAAAAGAAATTTACAAGAAAAATTAAAGAAATTCTTTAAAAGATACACAATCAACAGGCAAACAGATTAGGCTCATTTCTGGGAAAGTATATATAATTTAACTTACCTCTAAGAATCAGTAAATATACAAACCAGTGTTAAATATTCAATATTAAATATTCACTGAAGTATTTTTGAATTAAGTTTTATCATTATAATTATATAATTTTTACAATACAGGTTTTTTAAATGACCTCCGTACAGAATAAAGGAAATAATATTAAAAAAAGTAAAATAAAATAAAACAATTGTTTAATTTCTTTGGGCTATTAAATTATTGCATTAATATTTCTTCATTAATACAATCATTATAATGTACCAAAACGTTATTATAGTACTGTAACTATGCCATTTATGAGTACTAAATGATGTGGCAGAGGTCTGTAGGCACCTATGCCAGTACCGCTTAAAATATTTTAAAAAGTAATCAGTGTTTTAGAAAGATAAATATATTCTCCAGATGTTTTATTCCAGCATGTTTTCCGTTATTGTTGGCTGTTTAATTACAAACAATGCTTGATTTTCAACTTGAAAAGTTTTTTGTTGAAAAAATTGACTTTACTGGTATTTTTTATTACCTAAGCCAATTGTTTTTGAATATTTTTTCGTTTTATTATTCTCTGACTATCCAGCTTTAATAAAAGGCCAATTGTGACAAAATTAAGCCAAATGCTGATGCTCAATGACCAAAAAACTAACTAAAGTCAATGTCGTCAATCTGCCATGTTTGGACGGCATTTTGGGGAAGTGCATTCCCTTTTTTTTTTGGAAAACATTGGGTTTTCTTTAATAAATAGTAACAAGGAACACAAATATATTCGATTTATAGGGATGTAGGGAGGGGAGGATGCACTGTAGGGTGGTCTGGCCCACCATGTATTACTGTTAACAAAGCTTTAAACTTCTAAAAACAGTTTTCAGACCTTGCCCCAACCTATCACCCCAGAAGTTATTGAGGATTTAACACTTAGGAATGTTCAATTTAGATTGCCTACTATTACTTTTTATTTATTTTACTGCCAGATTCGAGTTACTATCAACCCAGCCAGGTTTTGACTAAATAATATCTAATTGTCTATACTGACCAAATTATAAACATATAACGAGTTTAATAGCTGATTTAAAAAAAATTAAATATTTTTTATTATTACATACATGTAACTTTATATATTTATATTTTATTATAATATTTTGTTATGAAATAGGTGATAAATCATACAATATCTAAACAATGTATTGTTTACAATACAAACAATAAGACGTGGATATTTATTTTACGTAAAATATATTTATACTTCAAATACTTACATTACATTAATCCAATATTCCATAGACAAAATATTTTTTAATATTATTGTTCTAACTTATCAATTGCTATTTATATCAAGTATTTTATGTTAAATAATAAGTGTTTCGTGCAAAATGATTATTTCACGTATGTAAGTATTTGAAATATAAGTATTTCACATAAAATAAATATTGTAAAAATATTCGTGGTAGATACCAATATATTGTTTAAAATCCATTTATTGTAGTTTGTATTGTAAGCATTACATTGTTCAGATATTGTATAGTTTATTAACTATTTCATAACTACCTATTATGATAAAATATAAATTTACATGTATGAAATTATAAAAAATATTTAATTTTTTTTTTAAAATTAGCTATTAAACTCGTATGTTTATAATTTGGTTAGTATAGACAATTAGATATTATTAACTCAAAACCTGGGTTGATAATAATTCAAACACGGTAGTAATAAAAAAACATTAAATAAATAAAAAGTAATAGTAGTCATTATAAAAATAACATTCCCGCATGTTACATCCTCAATAACTTTCGGAGTGACAGGTTGGGGCTGTTGTTACTTGATACTTACTCTTACTATATATTACAAATATAGGTAAGTGAAAGTAAAAACTACAAAAGATTATTTTGTATTAGAATTTTTCTCCTTAAAAAGATCCTTGATTATTTTCAATAGACAAATCAGATTTTAAAAGAAGTATTAATTAAGTTATCTGAAAATGGCAACAATCTAGTGAAGTCTTTTAATTCTTGAAGATATATTTTAAACATTGTAAGATTAGTTTTATATACTAGTCTATAACAATAGGAAATGAGTTTTTAACAATAAAACTATAAGATAACTGTTTAAATCTAACAAATGTATATTTTGACATTCAATACCAAATTTAGGTGATAGTGATTTCCCAGTTCGACTTCTAGTGCCTTCAATAAAAAATTCTATAGGAGATTCTTCATATGATATCATTGCTTTGATATATTCTTGAAAAACAGATCGATAAACATGATCATCAACAAATTTTCTTCTCATGAAAAATGCCTTGCTGTTTCGTAAAACTTTATTCATTAGTTTCATTGATAAAAAATCTGCAAAATAAATAAAATTAGCAAGCAACAATCTTTTACAAAAAATTGATTTTATAAATAAATTATGTTAATAGAAATACAAGTATTTTTGATCACCTGTCCCACAATTTACTTTTATTTTATAATTTTTATTTCATGTTTCAGCACTTGGCCATCATCAGCATATGTGAAAAAATGCTTTATATGCGTTTTATAATTTATAAGCACCGAAACGTTCACATGAAATAAAGATTATAAAATAAAAGGAAATTGTGGGACAGGTGATCGAAAAAAACTTGTATTTTTATTAACATGGCTTATTAAAGTCCCATTCATTCTATTCATAAATAAATATTCATTATAAATAAAGACACTGAATTCATGAGATACAAAATCTTGATTTTTTTTTTTCATTAAATTGATCTCAATATTATGTTTGCTAACAATCTAAAAGGAAATGATTCTTTAGAACAAAAATGCTAAAATCAGCAATCATAAGACAACTTTGAATAATTTATGTATTTGTTAACAGTTAAATCTTGATTCCATATAAGTAATATTATTTACTGTGAATATGTAATGTACAGAGTGTTCCTATACAAAAGGATAATCCTTCGGGCTTTTATAGCACTCGATAGACCAAAAACATAATTTGTGGTAAATTATCGGAATGGAACTGATATTCCAAATGACTGGCAATTGTCAAATTCCAATTTGTTATTTTCAGCAAAAGTGGTTTTAAATATGAAAAAAAAGAAAATATTCTAAAAAGCAGCAGAAAACCATATTTGTTTAATAAATTTAAGCGGAAATATCAAAGTAAATTTTGATTTTGGAGAACAAATTTTCAGCTCACAAAAGTGGTTGCAAGGCTTTTATTACAGTAGCTCAGAAGCAACATGAAGCAGAGATGATTCACTATTTATAATGATTTAAACGCATTTTATTTATTACAATAAATAATTTATTATTGTAATCACATTAAAAACCTAAGTAGATGTCAACGGTGGTTTACAAATTCCATCGTTTTGGAAAATTGGTTTAAGAATTTTAAAGTGCTTAACAAAAATGTTTCAAATATTCAGCCTCCAGCAGTAATACAAACAACATTTTGTGAATTAACAACCTATGTTTCATGGAGGATTTGATCATATTTTTCTACTTTTTGACCTGCAATTTCTGTGCGGTTGCTTTCCATTGGCAGACTTGCAAAAAATTGCAACTTTAGGCTAATAAATTTACCAATCTTAGGAGCCTTGAAATTATAACTACAATGAATTTGTGTGATAAAAGTAAGAATGAAGTCTGTCAGTAGATTGGCACGGCCTAAAGAAGAAAATTAATTGAAAATTGCAATTTTAGGGGCAAAAAATTACCAAAGTTAGGAGGCTTGATTTTCACTGCATAATCCCTTCTTACAAGAGTTCATTAAAAATGAAGTCTGCCATCCAGAGGCCGTTGCTTTCAGTAGGCAGAGTGAGCTTGAATGTAAGAAGCTATAGCGAAAAAAAGGTTGAAGTTTCACGTGATCGCTTATAATGAATCATTTATTATTCAGTTATTCAATCTTCCCCTCTCTACCCCCCATCTGGCTCATCACCTAGGAGTGCGGGCTTTTACTATCTTTACCTCCTTACTAGTCCAAACAATGACCTTAAGTCTAAAATAGTGTCCCCTCCATTTCATTCTATACTCCATTTTCGAGTATTCATTGATTGGACTAAATGTCATGTAACACATTCGTTAAAGGTACTTAAATTTTGATTTTTACAATATTAGTGTGGCTGTAAATATATATATATATAAGGGGCTGAGGCGCTTGCAATAGATAATCAAAGTTAAGCAATGTTGAGCGTGGTTAGTACTAGTATGGGTGACCAGTCACTTCTCTCCCCTGGGTATGTGAGCCCCATCAGCCCACTGGAGGCAACTCACACTGACCGGGCATAGGACTGATGACCCTACCCCATGTACTTAAGTCGGGAATCGAGATGTGGTTTACCAGGATGTTAATAGCCCCGCTGAGGTTCGGTCCATGGATGGTCTGTTACGAGGAAAGAAATATAGGTCCTCGTGCGCCTGCTGACTCCATAATCCATTTATCTAGACCGATTTATCACTGCCTTGAACCTGAGTGAGTCAGTGGGAAGGACATTACCAGATTGGCCCCAAAGGGATCGGCTATGGAGAACGGTGGCCTGCTGCTGCACCATAGAGACCATGGTTCGTAGCAACGTGAGATTGGGTGACCTTTAGCCTCCAGGCTATCTGAGCTCCCGCAAGCAGCATATGTCTGTAAGGGGAGACCACATCTCGCAGCAAAAGATCTTCAAGGTCTGTAGTGCCAACCAAAAAAAAAAAAATATGTATATATATACATATACATATATTTATTTGTGTTATTTACTTATGAGGACTTAGTTGGTTTTCTTTTTTGCCCGCCTTACTTAACTAATTCTGGGAAAAGAGAATATTATTACAAAAATAATTTACAATTTGTTTTACAAGTATTCTTTAGATATTTAAGAAATAAATTTTGTTTGATTATATGTTAAAATTACATTCTTTAATTAACGTAGTAGAATACCGGTGAGGTAATCAGTACAGACAAATTGAAGCATATTTTATCATACATCTGCTCATTTTGTGAAAAATATTTGTTTTTATACCTATCCTATAGCGCAACATGCACCCATGCCCTTAATAACATGAGTGGTACATCTAGCTTAGAAGCTACAGAAACCTTATAAAATTAAATAAGGAACTAATAAAGTGGTAAATGCATGTGGAATTAGTCGTCTAGTTTTACTAATATTAATCAAATAAAAAAAAAATACATATTTATTATTTTTAAAAAATTTTAATGTTTTAAAAATGTATTTATTAATCTTTAAAAAACATTTGTTAGGTCTTCATAGGTTGAAAATTGAACAACCAAATAATAAATGATTCATTATAAGCGATCACGTGAAACTTCAACCTTTTTTTTTTCGCTATAGCTTCTTACATTCATGCTCACTCTGCCTACTGAAAGCAACGGCCTTTGGATGGCAGACTTCATTTTTAATGAACTATTGGTAAGAATGGATTATGCAGTGAAAATTCAAGCTGCCTAACTTTGGTAATTTTTTGCCCCTAAAATTGCAATTTTTAATCAGAGTCAGCCAGTAGATTGCCGTGGCCTATCATAGGCAGACTACATTTTTATTCAACTGTTAATATATAAGTATCATATAGCTTAGTTTCAAATCTCCTAATTTAAATAAATTTTTACACCTGAAATTGCAATTTTTAATTAGAGTCTGCCAGTAGATTGCCGCTGCCTAAAGAAGGCAGACAAAGTTCATTCTTACTTTTATCACACAAATTCATTGTAGTTATAATTTCAAGGCTCCTAAGATTGGTAAATTTATTAGCCTAAAGTTGCAATTTTTTAAATTAAGTATGTTAATGGAAAGCAACCACACAGAAATGGCAGACTGCTAAAAAATAGTGCTTCATTGTATAAAGATTCATCTATCTAAGTTTCATCTAGGCTGTGATGAGGTTCAATTTTTCGGCAAATTTGGACCTCTTTGCATGGCCGCCATTTTTGAAAGCAGCGGCTTTGGAATGGTAGACAAAGCTCATTTTTATTAAAATGTTATAAACTTTCATAATTTACATTCAAACCTTCGTCTGCGATGAGGTCCGTTTTTTGGCCCTGGCTCCAGGGCTATTATACCTTCATATTATATCTTTCAAGCCTTTAAATCAGGTAAATAATTTTTTAGAGAAGTCAGAAAAACAGTTTTGCAGGAAAAACATTTCACTGGTTATGTTGCAACCAATCAACCAGTTTGAAGATCTGGCATATGTTTTTAATCTCTGATTACCACTTAATTCCATGACAAGATGTTAAAATAAAAAATAAAAGTATTTTTTTATAGTTCTACTATTGACCCTATTAACTATTATTAAATATTTGAAGAGGACAATGGAAAATTATATAATACAAAGAAAAAGAGTCAAAGAAATTTGTTGAAAGAAAAAGAGGGCTTGGGAAAGCAAAATCATAAAAGATATGCAAGAGCAGTATGCGGCAAAAGAAACCAGAAAATTTTACAAAGGAGTAAGAAATGCAAGGAGTAATGAAGAGGAAACGCATAGAAATAGAGAAAACATATGAGAGGAAGAGAAAATACCGCCGGAAAAAGAAGAAATAGAGGAAATAATTATGTCTTTAAAGAACAACAAATCACCAGGTGTGGATGAAATACCAGCAGAGCTACTAAAGAATGGAGGAGAAGAATTAACTAAGCAGCTCTACGACCTCATATATATGATTTGGGTGCAGGAAACCATACCTGAAGATGGAACAATGTCCTATTTTTAAAAAGGGGGACAAGTTGAACTGCGATAACTACAGAGGAATAGCACTACTGCCAACTGTATATAATGTCCTTTCCAATGCTATTAGTAAGAAACTAACGTCATGGGGAGAAAGAATTTGCGGAGACTATCAATGTGGTTTCAGGAAAAGTAGGTCAACAGTGGATCACATCTTTGCTGTAAGACAAATGCTAGAGCATAACGTAACATATGACAAAACATCTGAGCATAACGTGGATCTGCACCATGTCTTTATAGATTTCAAGCAGGCATATGATTCTATAGACAGAAAGGAATTACAGAAAGCTATGAGGATGCTGGGAATTCCTGAAAAATGTATTGCCTTGACAGAGATGACGCTAAGAGATACAAAATGTAAGGTCAAGATTCAAAACATCCTCTCAAACAGCACTGAGGTAAAACAAGGCTTGAAGCAGGGAGACCTTATATCACCAGTCCTCTTTAATCTAGCCCTGGAGCGGGCTGTTAGAGCAATAAGGACCAATCCTGGAGGGACTATATTCAATCGACTTACTCAATGTCTTGCATACGCGGACGATATTCTTATCAGCGCTCGCACATTATTGGCCCTTGTGGGATTCGATGTGACAGCAATGCAACTTGGCCTAAAGATAAACGAAGGGAAAAGTATTTACATGAAGTCGTCAAGGAATAATGTAGCTATGCATGAATATGTTCAAATTAATCAGCACCTTTTTCCAATGGGAATAGAATTCAAAAACCTCGGAGTAATAGTCACTGACCAGAACAAAATGTAGGCCGAAATAAAGGCCAGAATTACAGCTGGCAATAAGTGTTTTTTTGTCCTGGCAAAAATACTGAAATCCAAGGAACTAAGCTGGAATACAAAAGTAACAATTTATAAAACCATTATAAAGCCAGTCGTTACCTACAGGTGTGAAACATGGGTTCTGACAAAGGAAAGTGAGAGGTTGCTGATAATCTGGGAGAGAAAAGTCCTAAGGAAAATATATGGTCCGAAGAAAATAAATGACCAGTGGCGAATACGGAAAAATGACGAGCTCTATGAGCTGTTTAAAAATGATGATATTGTAGCCACTGTCAAAAGGAGCCGGTTCAGATGGCTAGGCCATGTAGAGAGAATGGAGGAGAATAGTTTGCCTAGAAAACTTCTCTATAATTGCCCAGGAGGAGTACGTCTTAGAGGAAGAACCCGGGTGTGGTGGATCAACGACGTGGAGGAGGACCTCAGCCGCATGGGTATCAGAAGATGGAGAAGAATAGCTGCCGATAGGGAAGCCTGGTAGAAGCGTGTTTCTGACGCCCAGGTCCATTAAGGATTTTAGAGCAAATTAACAATAATAATAATTATTAACCCAATGAAATGTTCATCTTCAATCAGAAAAAAAACTCTTAAATCATCACAGGGTTCTTTATCTTTTCAAATAATTGCTAGCTCAGCTGCTAATTTTTTAAAGATGTTTTTACAGCTTGCAGACAGTAGGTTGGAGATGATATGGGATGAAAGGAAAGATGTATCTTGCAATCCTCAGCATTTAGGTGATAATTGAAAAGAAAGATGTATTAACGTAAGTCATTTGATAACTGAAGTACCAAATTAATGATAAAAAAATTTTTTTTTTTCAAATAAAATACAATATTGTTATTAATATAATAAATATTATTAATAAGGATGGTACTATAACTCAATAATAAGTAAAGGTTACTGCAAAAAGTTTTGAGCAACAGAGAATAAAATCTTCATTAAGAAAAATAAAACAAAAAAGAACAAGGTGTTCATATTTAGAATTAACAGAGCTATTCTGATGTTTCAAACAAAAATTAACAAGAAAAACCCATGTACAAGGACAAGTGCTGCCCATTAAGAAGCTAGCTAATGAGGGAGAAATATACAGTTGAAGTGACATCTTTCTTCCTTTAATCACAACTAATATATCCATAAATTTGACTTCAACAGGTCCAGTCTTTTAGATCCACATGATTAACAAAAGGTTAGATAGTTATAATTAATTAAAATAACATTACAAATAATAACATTGAAGGTAATATTGATCGTGGAATCAATTATAGGAGAAGTTGGATCATTTGTTGTAGAATAGTCTCTAGGAGAATCATCAACTTAGTCTACTTTTTTGTGTGTTTTTCTTTTCTGACTATGTTCACTTAACCTACTTCTTTTTGTATTAAAAAATAATAAAATGGATATTAAATGAAAAATCTGGGGAACTTAAGTATAACTACATTGAGAGCAAAATAAAGTTGGTTTCAATATATGAAACAGTAATAAAATTAGAGCGTTGCATTATTAATGTTAATTTTTTTATATTTTAAGGGAAGATAATAAGTTCAAGAAAGTTATGAAAATCTTTATATAAAATATGATAATTTCATATTTTATAAATTTAAATTACATCTAAAAAGTTTATCTATAAATATTTAAGTTTCAATTACCCATTCCAGCTGCAACACATGGTATGTGTATATTATATTTAAAACAAACAAAGGCCATTAAAATAAAATCACAATAACTTCTATGAGTAGGCACAAAAATAACTGGGCTATTTCCCATTTCAGAAGCAATCTGAAACACACACATAGAAAGAAAATCTTAAAAAAAGTTATGAATTATAATTAACATTAAAATAATAAGACCTATACTGTGTCTAATAAGTAGAATGATATATAAATCTTCATATGTTACTCCTTATTTCTGAATCCAAATTTTCCATTTCCATGTCATATAACATCTTAAATGAAGGTGAAGATGAAGAAAACAACCTAGTATTTGTTCCCTTTACCTTTAGTTTGATATTCTTTGTCATTTGTCTTATTTTTATATATTTACATCAGGTTATTTTTGAAGATTCCAAAACAAAAGTCTTCAGTTAAGAATTAAATAAAAATCTTAAAAAATTATTTATCACTTTCTGATTTTTATGTGACATAAATATCTATACATACATAAGTATAACTATATTTTGAGAATGTGGGTAAGAGTCCCAGAATGCTGTCGGTTTAACTCACATGTGGATCAGTTAATATTTATTTTTACAATAAATACACAATAAAAACTATACTATCAAAGATCATTGCACAGCTCGTATAATCAACCCAGTCTTACTGAGAAACAAGGGAGGTTATTAAAGCCTCCATTAATAATCAGTTGTTTATTTTACAAAACTGATTAGTAATGTCACAAACAATTACAAGTACAAAATCATTGAGTAAAAAAATGTGTCTCAAACAGGAGTAAACATAATGCCTCAAGTCCACCTAATTGTAAAAAAACAAAAAGGAGCATAAGAAAAATGAAATTGATGTCGGGCCCATTCAGCCTCTAAAAAGAATAGAATGTCTCGAACAGGGGAAAGTATATTGAGTAAATATAATATTAAGGTGGCACACTCAGCCCATTTGAGCTGGATACCTGTAGGTATAGGGTGAAATAAGCACCCAATAGTCATTGCCATCGGTGGATTAGATTGGGTGGGATTATACTATATATTTAAATATTATATATTTGTTATATTGGTGGATTTTTTATATTATTTCAGTACAGAGTTATTTCGTAATAATTATTTCATGTTTTTTTATAATAATTTATTTATGAAATAAGTAAATCTGAAATAACTCATTTTGAAATAAATTACTTTATTTAAACAAATGTTAAAATATTGAAATAATTACTTCAGAAATAAATTTAGTAGTTATTTCATCGAGATTATTTCATTGGCGATTTGAAATATTATTTCAGAAATAAACATTATTTCGGAAATAATTCATTCATGAAATAAACATATGATTTATTTAAAAAATAAATGATTTCAAGAGTGCCCAGGTCTAGTTCAAGCCACAGTTCTGTGTGTCTTTAATTCAGAATTAAGAAACATTGGTCTCCAGCATGCATTTAATCCATTTGAAGGTCATTAGGTCTATCTTTCTTTTCCTTAACCTGTCAGTAATCGCATTATAAGGAGTCCATTGATGTCAACAAAGGTGCAGATAATTATTTCTCTCTGGTTCAGAGATCTATCAATCCTAGAAACCAAGTTATGTGAAGCTAATTCGCTAATACTTATAGTTAATGTTGTCATAATTAAATTGAATAAAAAATATAATATCATACTTTTTATCCAAGAATTACTAATTTGTAAAAAAAAATAATGGACATAAAATCATATGACAGTAATATGCATTTTTTTTAGTATTTAAATAATAATTAGAAGTTTTTATAACTCCAAAAAGTTCTCTTGAAAACCCAATAAAGTGTAGGTGATATTCTACAAAAAAAAAAAAAAAAAAAAATAAAAAAAAAATAAGTTACATTATCAATTTGAAAAAAAAAATTGTAAATTTGTTTGAAAAATATTAATAGATTAAAAAGTTGAAAATAGGAGCAGCTAACTTTTTAATTTTATCTTGGAAGTAAAATTAAAAGCAGACAAACTAAAAGTTATGAGTAAAATCTACTTAATTGTTAAAAGAACGATCACAATATTATTCCACTTGTTGGAGAGTCCACGTTTATTCAAGTTATATAGATATTGATGTAGTTATAGCATAGTTTCGCACCAATACAATAAAAGTTCATATATATTTTTTAACCATGTTCAATTAAGTTTTATAGACATTAGTGTAGTAATAGCATAGCTTTGCACTAATAAGATAAAAGTTCATACATATATTTTAACCTGTATATTTCAAAAATATAAAGTTTAAATTGCTCCTTCTGATATTTGATGTTTACTAATAATAATTTGTCTCTACCTTAGACAAGTTGATGCTTTAATGTTTACACAATTATTCATTATTGTTTTCTTATCTAAAATTTTGTTTAAAAGAATTAAGTTTTAAAAATATGATATTCATTTTTCGACTTTTAGCCAAGTTTTCCTGTATTCTGAATGGGTATGGTCTGTGAGGAGATGAAATAATACAACTATTCATAAATTCACCATAAAAATTAAGATAAAAAACTAGAGTCATGTTACAAAATTACTTTTAGAAACAAAATAAGAAAAAAAATACATATTTTGATACAAACCACTTTCAACATGCTTTCATTAATATAAAGTCCTGATAAAGATTTTCGAAGCATTTTAATTAAAAATAATCCTAACCACCTAACAACAGCTAAATCATAAGCATATCCTATTTCCTCAAGTATTTCTGATATTTGTTGTTTTGCAGCCCAAAATCCTTTGTCTTCGAACACCTTAAAAAAATATATATGTATTTTAAACTTTTTTTTTTAAATATTAAGAAAAAACAATTATGTTAGGAGTTGGTCAGGGGTGCGGTCAAATAAATACTACAAACTAGAATGGTATTTTATTAGTTACACCGATGTTTTGACCTATTTTGTAGGTCTTCATCAGAGCTACAAAAGATATAAATTATAAAAGGTACACAGTGAAAATAAAATAAATGAATTATTAGTAGATATTAAATAAGAAACAGTTGTTATTTTGATAAATAAATAATAAGATGACATCAGTGATATAGTGGGTCATAGTGTAGTTAAAATATCAAGTATTATATGTACATATATATATAAGATACAAACATATAGAATATTTAGAAGATACAACCAAAAATAGAAAACAAGTGTGAATAAAAACAGAAAACAAAGGTGGTTTTCACAGTGAAAATAAAATAAATGAATTATTAGTAGATATTAAATAAAAAACAGTTGTTATTTTGATAAATAAATAATAAGATGACTTCAGTGATATATTGGGTCATTGTGTAGTTAAAATATCAAGTACTATAAATATATATATATATATATATATATGTGTGTGTGTGTGTGTGTGTGTGGGAGGGTCGGGGTAGCTCAGTGGTAGGACACTAAGTTTCCAATGCTCAAGGTCCCAGGATCGAATCTCAGCTCATGGGAGAAAAATTATTTATTCTGTTTCATTGGCCGTGGGGCGACCCTGGAGTAGAGACCCTCCTGGGACATACCCAGCCTCTACAAACTGGTTACCCTTAATTAAATAATTGATTAAGGGGAAAACCTTGGCTGTTGAGCGTAATCCTGGCCCGATCTCGATAGTACTGAACCCAAGATCCTTCATGGATTGTAGTGGTACAGATTATATATATATATATATATATATATATATATATATATATATATATATATTGTAATATACACCTTTATTGGAAGTGGGTAAAAATGATTTAATAAATTAATGTTGAACAATTAAAAGGCAAGCTAATCTAGTTATACTAGTGCAGGGAAAAGAAAATGGCTACTCTGTAATTTTCCAAGAAGGAAAATCCCAAAGAGGAGAGGGACAAAGGTTTTTGTTTTGGCAAGCAGTTGTTGTGTGTGACTGCAGTGAAGAGAGGATAGGAGAAGTGATCCTGGCTCCAGTAGGAAAAACCAAGTAATAGTGTAACCAATTTGGAAGAGTTCTTGGGCAGAACTTTAGAAAGTGTTTGAAAACAAATGAGTTCAGTGTCACAAAGGAAGAAACATATAATACAGAATAAAGTTAGCTTGCCAATCCATATTTGACTTTATTTTGAAACCAAACAATGTTTAGTATGGTTAATTTTAGTTTGTCTGAGTTGATCTGATTGTCAGTAACCCATACCTGAGATAAATAAAAATATTAATACTCTCATAATTTTGTTTATTATTATATCAACCTCTTGTTTCTTTTGGAAGTATCCTAACGGTATAAAGTGATCTTCCGAGGTTATATTATTATTATTAGTAGTAAAATATAAGAGGGATGTTACAATATATGGGACCAGAGTAGCCGTAAGGGCTAAGGCGCTTGCAATAGGCAATCAAAGTTAAGCAACATCGAAGTGTGGTCAGTACTTGGATGGGTGACCGCCCTATTTGGGTGACTGTCCACCATGGAAAGACACGCTGTCCAAGATTCCTCCCCCTCCCCTCGGGTATGTGAGACCCGTCAGCCTACTGGAGACAACTCACACCGCAGGGAGGTGAGTGACCCTGTGGTAGACATAGCTTCTGGTCCTCCAAGACTCCATATTGGATCAAGTAAAAAGGTACAACATACCGTTAACAGCCATTCAAGAGGTAAGATGGCCAGATGGTGGAGAAACCACTATAGACGGCTACACACTGTTCTACACTGGGAGAAATGACAAAAATGAGACAGCTGGCACTGGATTTATAGTTAATCCGGCAACAAGGAAGTCAGTAATAAACTTCACCCGAGTTAATGAAAGGATAAGTGTGCTGTGCATAAGAGGTCGTTGGTTTAATATCACGATTATTAACGTGTATGCACCGACCAAAGAAAAAGAGGATGAGGTGAAGGACGATTTCTACGATCAGTTAGAAAAAGTTGTGAACCAGGATCCAAAATATGACATAAAATTACTCATGGGAGACTTCAATGCCAAGATAGGTCGAGAAACCCAATTTAAGCCCATCATCGGAGGCCAAAGTTCCCACGAAAGTAGCAATGACAATGGAGTGAGACGCATTAGTCTGGCAGCAGTTAAAAGTCTAGTAGTAAGTAGTACGATGTTCCTGCACAAGGACATACATAAGTATACCTGGGTGAGTCCTAAAGGAGCAAAAAGCCAAATCGACCGACCATGTGTTGACAGACAAGAGGCATCAAAGCTCCATACAAGACATAAGGAGATATCGTGGAGCAGACTGTGATTCAGACCATACTCTGATTAGAATCAAACTCAGTCAGAGGCTGAAGCGAATCCACTGAATTGGGGACCAAGTGGAAACAAAGAGGTACAAAGTCCGTAATTTGAAAAACCCTATAGTACAAGCTAAATTCCAAATTGAGCTGAAAAATAAATTCGAACCCTTGAACTCGGAAGGCCTCATGGTTGACTAACACTGAGAGGCACTAGAGTCAGGGCTAAAACAAACAGCTAAGGAAGTAATAGGGATTCAGGAAAAAGAAAAGCCAAGAAATGGTTCACAGAAGCATGCGAAAAGGCAGTGGAGGAAAGAAGATAAGTTCTCTGTTTACAAACTGATCAAGCTATGCTGGACAAATACACAGCCACCAGGAAAAAGACAAACAAAATAATAAGAACAGCCAAAAGAGAATTCCTCAAAGAAAGATTACAAACTATTGACGAAAACTGGCAGGCTGGAAATATATGCGAATTCTTCGCAGATATCAGAAAAGAAAGGGTAGGATTTAAAGTGAGAAATACACAAATGCAAGGGAAAGATGGCAAATTGACGGCATCAAAAGAAAAGATCCTAAGGATCTGGAAGGAACACTTCCAGCAGCTGCTTAATCAAGGGCCCCCCACAAACGAAGAAGACATGGACCACACTGAGGACATCGACCCACTTGAGATTGAAAAACCAGATATTCTGGAAGTGGAAATAGCTATCGGCAGGTTTAAAAGAAGGAAGGCTCTAAGGGATAGACAATCTACCATCAGAATTGTTTAAGGATGGGGGAGAAGAACTCAGAGCCAAGCTGTTAGATCTAATCCAGAAGATATGAGAGAAGGAACGGATACCAGAAGCATCGAACACACGGTTGATCTGTCCTGTCCTTAAGAAAGGCTCCATGTATGAATGTGGCAATTACAGAGGCATAGCACTTCTTCCGGTCGTCTATAAAATAATAACTAATATTCTGCTAAATCGGATATATCCGTATTATGAAAACATAATAGGCGACCATCAAACAGGATTCAGGAGGGGGAGGAGTACGCTAGATCATATATTCAACCTAAAACAAGTACTTGAAAAGTGATGAGAAGTAGATCAGGACATACACGCATTATTTGTCGACTTCAAAGCAGCCTATGACTCCGTGTTGACAGAAACTGTCTCTGGAAGATCATGACTGAGCTGGGTGTTCCTGGACATTAGTGAGGTTGAAGAAGGCATGTACAAATGATTCTAAATGCAGATTAGTAATAAAAGGAGAAGTATCTACAGCCTTTGAAGTTCAAACGGGTTGGAGACAGGGAGATGGACTCTCGCTGATGCTGTACAACTTAGCACTGGAGAAAGTAATAAGAATAACATCACGCGAAGATGGAGGGGTGCATGTTGGAATGGAATATAAAATCCTAGCATATGCCGATGATATAGCTGTCCTCGGAAGTAATCAAGAGGATATTGAGACTGTTAAAAGAAGCAGGCAAATCGGACTACAGGTCAATGTAGATAAAATATCCACCCTAATAACACGATCTGCGTGGACTCTAAGTCATTTCCGAAAGTAGATAGATTCAAATACCTCGGCTTCACAATAACCTCAATAAAGGATCAACTAACAGAGATGGACCAGCGAATAACAAGTGGAAACAGATCTTTCTTCTCTCTTTCAAAGGTACTGAAATCCAGAAAATCTCCAGAAATCTAAAAATAAGGGTGTACAACGCCGTGATTAAGCCAGTTCTACTGTACGGTTGTGAAACTTGGGCTCTAACTGGCACACTAGAAGCCAGAATTGAGAGATTCAAAAGAAAAGTTCTACGTAGGATAACAGGACCTAAATGGAACCAGAACATTGACACATGGAGGAGAAGGAACAATAAAGAGCTGCTGAAAGAAATGGATCAGTCAATATCTCTTGACATGAAGGCGAGGAGGTTAAGATGGACAGGGCATGCAGCTCGTAGCAATCCATTAGGATGCCTTTACAAGACAATGAATGCCAGAGTAGTAGGCAAGAGACCACATGGGAGACCAAAAGCCAGATGGATAGATAGGATAAACAAAGATAAGGCTGAGGTTCATTCCACAAACTGGAAAGCAGTAGCCCAAGATAAGCAGAGGTGGAGAAGGCTGGTTCAGGCGGCTAAAGATCTACAAGATCTATAGAGCCAACCGAAAAAAAAAAGAAAAAAAAAATATATATAAGGTAAAAACAAAAATAGAAAACAAGTTTGAATAAAAACAGAAAACAAAGGTGAATATAGTGTATAAGTTAAAAGTAAACAGATTGCGATAAAAAGATAAGATATGAATGAATAATAAACTAGTAAAGCTTACATGTGATAACTGTAGGTTAACAGATAAAAAAATTAGGGTTAACCAATAAAGAAATTGAAGAATGAATAAGTAATGATCTAGGAAAAGTAAAATAAAAATAATATATCAGTTGATAACATGCTAGTAGCGGTTACACATGGTAAATACAGGTTAATAGATAACGAAAGTAAGGTTTAACAAATAAAGAAATTAAAAACTTAATAAGATAATATAAGTGATTTAGTGAGTTGTAGCATCGTTAGGATAGATTTAATATATATACATATATATATATATTTTTATATATATATATATATATATATATATATATATATATATATAAATATATATATATATATATATACATAAAAAAAAAAATATATATATATATATACATAGGATGATAAGAAAAAAATTAGAAGAGAAATTTAGAATGTAAGTAGAAATGTAAACAACGTTGTGATGATTATGAAAGATATTTGAAGAAGAAAGACAATTGACATTCAGTTGTTTTAAAGCAGCAATGGCAGTATAGTAGGCACGCACTCGTGTGCACACACACAATCAGACACATAAATATATATACACACACACACACACACACACACACACACACACATTCACACACACACACGCACACACACACACGCACACACACACACACACACACACAAAAACAGACACATAAATATATATGCATACACACACACACACACACAAACATATATGCGTGCACACACACACAACAATTTTTTAATATGTTAATAATTTGGGAATAGGCGAGGGACAAGTTTTGTTTGTCTGTTTTTAAGTTAAGTGATTTGTATTCTAATTGAATGAAAACGCTTCCCATGTGTAATATTTTGTCAATGTTGGGTACTGTGGCAAGTATGAAGGTATTGTCAAAGTCAAATGTGTGATTTGAGGATAAGGCGTGTCCAGAAAGTTCAGAAGCAAAGGGTTATTGGAAGAAATTGAGTATTTGTGTTTGTTAGTACAGTCTTTAAGATGGTTTTTGGTTTCTCAAATATAAGCAGAGTTACAAATGGTGGTGGAGCAAGGAATACGGTATACAACATTTGAGCGATGTTGAAGAGAGACCCAAAACAATTTTCTAAGTAGCGATAATTTTCTAGTAAGTCCTTTATCTTCATAGGTAGTTTTTAATTTTTGCTAAACTTCCTTGGTTGACTTAGATGATTGTACAATAGGGTATAATGATTCATCTATCATGAAACATATTTTAGATTTTGCCTTAAATTCCTTTTTTTATCAAGATTTTACATTTCCATAACGACATCCCATAAATCTTCACCTGTTAAAACCATTTCCATACTGAATTTCCAACTGTTGTAGTTTTCTCGTCCAGTCAACCTTTTAATTCCAGGCCAATTTATTGAACTATCCATTATTATTCTCATCAGTGGAAATTCTCACGATAACGACAGAATTAAAAAAAAAAAAAAAAGTACGTGCCTCAAGCTTGGATACCAGAAACCTTCCTATCAGTATACAACCAAATCCCTTACCATACAAGGAAGTATGGGGCAGTGCTTTTATAAATGGTGGTACTTTCTCGCCATGTCTTTGGGCGCCTGTGGTATTTATTGGTAATGGTCCCGCCACAAAACATTCCCCCATGCCTTGATGTTGCCGCCGCTTCGGTCCGGAAATTTATATTGATATATAAATATTTCAATTTACTTCAAATATTTATATTTTTACTGAGCTCATCGATGACATTGGATCTGTCTCTACTCTTAAGCTTTCTAAAAAAACAACTCGTGCAATAAATTTAGTAATCTTGTGTTTGCGTGAATTACTAAATTTTATATATTTAAATAGTTTTTAAAATTTTACCCTGTAATCAAAGAAGCTTTCTCATCTCACAGATACCCACTCATTCACACCTACAAACTGGAATAATTTACGGTCCAAATTTAAGGTGAACATTTGTTTTTCATCTTTCTTTTACGGTTTTTGGATGTATCTTTAAGAGTTCTATAAACCCTCTTGTTTTATTGGTGTAATATATTTAATATGACTTCTTTTTTTTGTTTATTTTTTATTTATTATATTTGTCAGATATTTTATCATCAAAAACATAAAATGTAAACAATGAATGAATAGCTCCAGAATTTGTATAATTTTAGGAAAGAAACAAACAAATTTTATTAATTCACAAAAAAAAAAAAACTGCTATAAAAATAATAAATACATTTTTTTTCCTATAAATTATTGAAAATTCCTGAATGTTTTTTTCTGCACATGAGAAATTCTTGTACTCTGGACACCCTGTTTATTAAATTGAATGTAATTGTTTAGATACATTTCCTAGAAAATTGTGTTGAATTTATCTTGTACTTGTCATATTGCTTCTTAACTTTGCGACTGTATGAAATCTTTAATTATTATTTGAAATGATCAAAAATAAATCTTAGTTAACAATTTTGCTAATTTTAAAAATAACAACACAATGAAAAATAAATTACAGCCATAATTAAACACCTAAATACAATTATTAGTTTACAGTTACAAGATTTTAAATTATCCGCTAAAATAGACTGACTTACCTCTTTAACCATATCATACAACTGACTGTTCTTTGCAACAATTTTCTTTAATTTATTTGGTGAAATATGAGGGCGACTTTGATTATAGGCCTTTATGAAATTAATTGCTCTTGATATCCATAGAAAATCGTGATCATTTTTTTGGAAATCTTCCAAAATATTTCTAAACTTTTGAGCCATTAAACCTGAATAAAAAAAAAAATAAAAGGTGTACAATAAAAATTAATTTACAAATGGCACAAATAAATAAATAAACATTAAAGATAAAACTCACTTAAATAATTAAAAATTAGTGAGATAAAAAGAGCCTTGTCGACCCTTTCTTAAATCCAGCACTAGGCGAGAGAATAAAATAAATAACAGAATATTAAGATAAAATTCTCATAGAATATCTTTTTTCTTAAATGCAATAATTATCTACATTTTTAAAAAAGCAATCAATTAATTGAAATAAAATCTTCTAAATAAACCACAAAAATGAACTAAAATAGTACCTAAAGGGGTAATAACCAAATTATGTCCAAATAATAATAAAAAAAGTTATGAAAAATGTATCAAGGCATCCAACATCAATAAACATTTACTTGATTTAAAAAATGAATAATTTATCTTGTTCTTAATTGCTTTGGGTATAATAACTCTGATAACATGAGCAAATTTAGTATAGTATGTACACAAATTAAATAGTTTCCCCAGTAATATTTTCATTAAATTAATTTATTCCATAAATAATACATAAGTTATGAAAGTTTAAGAACCGAAAAATTAGAAAATAATTACAGTTCAAAAATATAATCACTAATTTAAAAAAATAATTATTGTATTGTTAATGCCAATTAAATATCTTTATTTTTCATTACTGTACCTTTAATAGTTTCTATTTTTGTTATTGCCAAGCACTCAAAGTGCCATTTGATTAAGAGAACTATTCTGATACGACTATTTTTTTTATTTTTTAAAATGCAGTAACACATTTAAAATCTTATAAAATCAATACATAAGGATTAAATCTTACCTATTCTTAAGATATTCACACTACAGTATTATTGTTCAGATATATTATCTGCAAAATGGCCAGTTTACAAAAGAATCATTCCTGCTTGCAAAGTTTGTATCATTACTCTAGAATACAGCACTATAAATTTATAAAATTCTGACATCGGGACCTAATTGTCTGATCATTGATTTCATTTTTTAACATCCCTCACCGGTTCTTAGATACCTGAAATGAGCCAAATATTAAGTAAAATGATGACTTATGAATATTAATTTTAGTTAAGTACAAGAGTAATGATATTTTTTTTTAATTTATCATACAAGTAGTAGTGTAAAAACTAGTATAAGAATGACTACACTTTTTAAAAAAAAATCACTTTTTATTCGCAATCAGTGGAAGGGGGTGATTTAAGTAAACTTTTTAATTTGATTGAGTGCTGCATAATAATATTTGATGAGGCCAGTAAACATACTATAATATTCATAATTTACCACAATATTTCCAATTTAATTAAAAGGATGGGAAGGATCAAGGAATAAATGTAAATATATAAAACTATTAAAGTGACTGCAACAGAGACGAGGTTCCTGAGAAAGTTTGGCGATGTGAGAAGAATGTGATATTAAAAGAAGATTAGGCAAATAATGGTTGATGGAGGACAGACAAAAAGAAAAGTGCTTGCAAGATCGACGAGGACAGATTATTTCATCAGGTTTGGGAGGGTAAGAGGCTACCCTCTTATAAAAATAAAGCATATGGCGAATAATTGCGACAATTGGAGAAGATGGACTGAGGCTAAACCTCCACGCCTCACGGCATCTGGAAGGTAGAGGAAGAAGAAGTTTACCTTTCAGGGTTTGAAATAGATAATTATTTTTTCCACAAAATCCTGTAATAATTATTATTTCATGCCTGATTTATAAATAAAAAGTAAAATCAATCTCTAATGTTTATTAATTCTATTAAAAATAATGATCACATACTGAGTGATATGGTATTACATAAGTAATAATAATTAAATTTTGTTAAAAAAAATTTTTTATCAGAAAATATAAATCACGATTTAAACACAAGTTAATATATTATTATGTATGTATACAATATTAATGTACACATTTTTAATGTTATATTTCTGAAATCGCTTTAATTGTGCACCTGGTACCTACACAGGTTACTGTTGAGAGAGCAATTTCAGCAGTCAAGTACATCTTTAGCAATTTACGTTCCTGGTTGACACCTGATCATTTGGAAAAATTTTAAAATTAAACTCTTCCAGCTCCATCCAGTGAGACAGTTTATATATATATAAGCCAAAATTTTTAATGAATTTCGGAAATAAAGATGTTCAGTTTCTAATAGTTGACAATATTCTCCACCTACTACTCGAATCTCAAAATAAATAATAGAGATTACACAAAAAATTTCTGATTTAAATAAGTCTTACTCAAAAATTATTATCATTATTGTTAATTGTAAAAATTTTATTGAAAAATAATGATCTGGATATGATTTTTATCACTTATGATCAAAAATAAAAATTACCCTTAATAAAAATCATCAAATGATTTTTAAAATTTCCAGATAAGAATTTGTATAGGATTTTATTTTTATTTTTTTAATTATAGATTTCAAACTCTGTTATTTTTAGTTTACATTTCAACAATGAAAGCTTAAGAGACCATAATCAACATTTTATGTTATTGGTATTTAACAAAATAATCAATGGAAACAAATTTTAAAATTCCAATCTAAGGAAAATTAAGGTAGTATATGGCAACGGACATAGGAATTGAAAGAAAATGTTATGGTGCTTCAATGAATATAGAGAAGAAATTATAACATTTCAGATCTGAAATTACTAACTACAGACAATAATTATATTAAGATAAACTGACCAATTATTTTTTGCACAAAGGGAGTAAGCTGGCACCTTTGCAACTTAAAATTGAATGTATATTTAATAAATAAAATATTAAAGCTAAATGTCAATTAAGTTTAACGAAGAAATACATAGCTACAATTAAAATTAACAACAAACTCATCTTTATATATTTTATCAATACTTAATATTCTTTTGAAAGTACTTACCTTCAAACTGAAGCCCCAATGCACTAATAAATTGGTTAGCAACTCTTGCTAATAATTTGAATTCAAAATACACAGTCAACTGCATATGTACTCTTAACAGTGACAAAGGTCTAAGAAATTATTATAGGCAACTTTAGCATATGAAAGTACAAAAGGATGAGTTAAATAATTGTTTGAGTTTCTATTTTTTTATTTTGCTTTTTTGAAGTATAAAAGGAGGAAAGATTTTAAAAGGAGTTTGGTTGACAGAAAACAATGTACCAAACAGCCTAGTATGTTTGGTTGCCTTGATTAAGATAATCATTAAAATAATATCAAAGAGAGAATAGTAAAGTTTGGCACAACTTCTAAACATGGAAATCTTACACACAAAACGCTTCAACTTCTAGTCATTTTCATTTAATTATAATCTACCAAGTATTACCACGATTATTTAATCTTCCCTAATATTATTGTCATAATATTGAGGAGTAGAAAACCAATTTGTTCCCCCAAAACTAGTTTTAGACAAAAAAAAGCGTTAACAGGTTAAAACTAAAACTGTAGAAAATTAGAACAGCATAAATTATCCTTCTCATGCAAAACGGACATAGTTTTCAAATATAAATATAAAAATATATATATAAATGTATGTATATTTGATAGATGAATTTACTGTCGTTCATGACAGTTTGAGTTACAAATTAATTATTTAATGGATAAAGGCGTCTAGAAGAACATAAAAACATCGTTCAGCTACGATGATCAAATTGACAGGACATTTTTCAAAGACTATACTTATCAAAACTGAGGTAAGTTTTAACGATGATTCTGATATATAAAAAACATTACTTACTTATATAAAATATAGAAAATTTACAATATATGTAATTGGGCAATTTTATGAATAGTAACTTTTTTGTAAAATTTCATTTAATTTAATTTTTTCTCGAGTTGATTAGATTTCTTCAAAATTTCGTGAATATGCTTTATTGGTCATTAAAACACTAAATCCCTTTACGAGGATGTTAAAAAACGTTATTTACTTTTACCTAGTTTCAATATATTTTGGATATGCAAATAAATGGTAACAGATGAATGACATTATAAACTAAATAAGCGCTTGAAGGGATTAGGATAACTGTTTAACAAAATAAAAACACACTGACTAGTCAACAAGCTTATAAAAAAATAAACCTAAATAAGTATTTATAGTTGTAGAGTATGACCAGAGATGGGCAAATGCTACTCCGAGTACAGAGTACCAAGTATTTTACTCAAATTGAATCACTATTACGAATCCAATCACTAAATAATATAATCGTTTTTTGTTTGTCATTGTTAAAAACTTTTGGAGAAGGATAGTGATTTTAGTTTGTTGAAAAGCCGATGTTAATGGACTGGTTAATGGAATCGAATGTTTTGCAGAAATCAAGAAGTATAAGGACCGTTAATTTTTTATTATCTATCGCAGTCTGAATATCACTGGTAATTTTAATTAAGGCGGATTGTGTGGAGTAGCCGGGATTGGAAACCAGATTGGAGAGAATCAAGTTGATTGGACTTTTCACGGAAATTGGAAACTTGGGATTGCATCAATTTTTCTAGGGGTTTTGAGATATTGGAAAGAAATGAGATTGGGCGGAAATCTTCAGAAGAAAGATTAGGCTTTTCATTTAACGGAATGATAATGGCTATTTTCTAAGAGATGGATAATACTAAATTCTGTAGTGAAAAAATGTAGATGAAAAGGAGAACTTGGAGGATTTCAGGGAGATGTAATTTTATTAATTTGAAAGGGATGCCATCTTGTCCAATTGGTGTGGGATTTCATTACAGAAGTTAGAAGGTCAGTGGGAGAAATGTCGGAGAAATAAAAGTCATCATCATTGAATGATGACTCAGGAGCATAGTTCGAAGAGGAGTGTAGAGAAGAGGTAAACGAGGCAGAAATAAAATGTGAATTTAAATTGTCAGGTGAAACGGGAAAGACTAGTGAGAAAGGAGATCTTGAAGGTTCACAGAGGGACATTTCGCGAAGTATTAATCATTTAGATTTGGAATCAGAAGCAGATGCGAGGGCTTCAAGGAAGTAGGTTTCTTTAGCTCTTCGGACCCTTGTTTGTGCCAAGTTGCGGAGCACACTAAACGGATTCATAGTCATCAGCACGCTTAGTACGCCTGTAGAGTCTGCGGGAGCATCACGCCTCTTTTGCAAATTATTAATTTCCTGATATATCCAAGGTGCAGGCTGGCGGCGAAGGGTAGTGGTTTTAAGGGGGGCATGGATATCAAGGATATTGAGGAGACTGGAAGTGAGAGAGTCGACCATGGTGTTAATAGAGTGACTGGAATATATCCTATTACAATCTAGTGATTGAACATCGGGTATGATTTTTTCACGTGTGTGGGAATTCAGGTTGCGATGAGTAAATGTTCTAGGTTGCATCAGAGGAGTTTGGATATTATAAGATATTTTGATCAGGCCATGAGAGGATAGAAAGTAATTGCGAAGGTTTTGGAGGAAAGAAGGTTTTGAGCAGAATCAATAATATATTGATCCAACCAAGTATCAGATCTAGAAGTGTGGTGAGTGGAGTGGGGAAAGGAACTATGAAGAGATAGAGAGAAAAAAATAGGTTTTCAAGATAGGATTTGTCATTGGAGTAAGAGAGTAAATTGGTATTGAGGTCATTGGCGATGATTATTCTGGCATAGAAAGGAAAGAAGTTGAATAGGGTTGATTCGTTGGATGGATAAAATGGAACAAGTGGAGGACGATATAGCACGGCGTAAAGATAAGGAATAGCATTTCAGAGGATTTCTATTAGGCGGTATTCAACTTGTGGTTGATCAGAAAATGGGGAACAATCGAGAACTCTGGCCGTCAAGCTATTGTGGACAAACATGGCAACTCCAACGCCAGTCCGGCTTATCCGGTCGTGAATGAGGAGAGTGTAATTATGCAAGGAGACAGAAGAGGACAGGATGAAAGGTTTAAGCCACGTTTTCGAGATTGCGATAATGTGATAACAATTTTGAGTAAAATACTGCAGGAATTGATCATAGTGGGCAGGAAGGGATATAGCGTTAACATGACAGGTGATTACGGAACTAGACATGAAAAGGAATCCACAGGAACGCAGTCAGTATTTTGTGAAGAGAAACTAAAACAAATAGAAAATACAAGTATTTAAAATCATTAAAAATAAGAGAGAAAAAAGTATGTACAGAAAAAATAAATAAAAATTATATGTTTAAAAATAAATAAATTGGTGAAAGAAAGTGTAGAAGCGAGAATATTCCTTTTAAGCCAGTTGTGTTGAAAGTTATTATGATGAGGATGCAGGGTTGACGAATTTTGAATGGTCAGGCAAATATATCGAGATCCGAGGCCTGGTCGACCAGGATAACATTATGTCCGTCCTCCTTTCGGCATCGCACCTTTCCAGCGGCAAGCCATGTATATTTGATTTTCCCTGCAGCTCTCTTCTGGTGGGCAAGCCAATAGAAGAGTCTGTTGGTGGGAGTCATCTCTTCACTCAGATAAATACGGTGGCAGTCATTCTCCTGTCGACAGATATCTTGCGTGACGAAGTCCCTCTTAACATTTTCGCTATTAAGTCGCCTCTGATTGACTGCCTTACGAACCGTGCAATGACAGGTGGCGGTCGTGGGTCATCTTTCCTGCTTCTGCGGCGATGTAACGTGTCTAGGTCTTCTGCACTAAGCCTGATCCCCAAACTTGCACCTACACTGGTCACCAGAGCAGCGAGTGTTTCGCCAGCTCGTTCCGGTATTCCGCGAATCTCCAGTGATCTACATAAAAGGTCCTGTTTGGCATTATTCAGACGAACCTCTAATTCGTCCACTCGGGATTTGAGGGCTTTATTTTCTATAATAATTTCTTCAAAGTGCATAGTTTGACTTTCAAAATGTTTTTCAATCTTCGATAGCCTTTCATTAAGTTCAAAACTAAGCTCCCCGAATTTATCTAGGACTGTTTTCAGCCCATTGTTACTGCCAGTGTCCTATCTCTGAGGCAGATGGTTCAGTGTTTGATTTTTTGGCCTGATCACAATTATTACAAACCCATGTAAAATGCTTTTAAGGACTCAATTTATTTGTCCGTTTGGTTGAAACATCTACCGTGAAAATTGATTTAATATTTTGCACACTGGATATTATTCTTATCTTCGCGTGTTATAATATTGTTGCAAATATTACACTGCACTGTTTTAATTTATTAATGAATAATAACTTGAAATTAAATACCAGGAGACAGAGTTTGTTGGGGTCGAAGCAATAAACAGTGTCTAATGCTGTAATGATTAGTAGATTATTCCGTAGCTCCTGAAATTCAATTAGATTCACCCTATTTTCTTTACGTAAATTAGTGTGGAAATCCAATACTTGAAACAGTGAATACTAATATTGTTTTATTATAAAGAAAAAAAAACTGAACTTCATATGAACTCAACTAAAAACTAAAATAAATAAAAACTGAATTGTTGAAGTAAGAGAGTTGTAATAGTGTGCACACGTAGACTGGTCTGGCCATACTGGTGAGTGTGTATATATACATGTAATTACATAGAAAGAAAAAACATAATCTGGAGAAAAGAAAAAATAACTGAAGTACGAAAAAAGAAAAAGCATTGATTTTTAATGTTGAAAACATAACCAATAGACTAACTTAATCATAACTAACTTACTATAAATTGTAAAAGTATATACAATAATTTGAAAAATAACAATAATAATAATAATAAAAATAACTACTTCTCAAGAATAATTATAATTCTTGTGGGAAGGAAAAAAATACAAATATATATATACATATAAATAAAAAGAAAAGCAAAACCTGGAAGAAAGCGAACATTCTATTTCTGATGTTAAAACATCAGCAGTAGGGTAACCTATATAAACTAACAAAAAAAATAGCATATTTACGATAATTAAAATAATAATATGTAAACAATAAAACCAATTTCTCCTAGCTTAATTATAGTGGTAATTGGTAAAAAGAAAATATATATACATATATTTACACAAGATGCGTACATGCACATATATACTTATACATACACTCAAAATTAGTATATGTCAACACTTGACCAGTATGCACTGCTATTCACCTCTAATAAAATTCAATTCATAAAATGAAATTTTAATAAAGGAGGTATTGGAAAAGGAGGTATTTACAAGATGATAGGGAAGAGGCATAATGGATGTTCGATGGTAAGGAATTCCAGATGTTAACGCAGCGGGCTGAGAAGGAACGTTCATAGGTTTGATTTATATCACTAGCGGATCCAGGATATAATTTTTTTTGGGGGGGGGCTTCAGCCCGAGAGATTTTTTTTTCATATACATATAACGATAATTAATTTGAAAAAAAAAGAAAGAAATTAATTACCTATATGAAATGGTGTTTAAGTGGTTGTTGAAGTCCTATTAAATGTAATTAAACGAACAAGAATACTTTAAGAGATAGTTTTTAATATTTTTTTGTGTAAAACGTGATTATATTTTACCATTTTGGGGGGGGGCTTCAGCCCGAAAGCCCCCTCCCCCGTAGATTCACTTGTGATTTATATGAGAGGGAATATAGAGGTCAGAGGCTGAAGGATACGGTAGATATAGTAAGGGTGCTGGGAGTGGACCGTTTGGTACATGAAATTTCCTAGGAAACATTGCTC